ACCTATGTAACAACTGTGTAAACCTTTGTAAGAAATGTGTAAACCTATGTAACAACTGTGTAAACCTTTATAAGAAATGTGTAAACCTATGTAACAACTGTGTAAACCCTTATAAGAAATGTGTAAACCTATGTAACAACTGTGTAAACCTTTGTAAGAAATGTGTAAACCTATGTAACAACTGTGTAAACCTTTATAAGAAATGTGTAAACCTTTATAAGAAATGTGTAAACCTATGTAACAACTGTGTAAACCTTTATAAGAAATGTGTAAGCCTATGTAACAACTGTGTAAGCCTTTGTAAGAAATGTGTAAACCTATGTAACAACTGTGTAAACCTTTATAAGAAATGTGTAAACCTATGTAACAACTGTGTAAACCTTTAAAAGAAATGTGTAAACCTATGTAACAACTGTGTAAACCTTTGTAAGAAATGTGTAAACCTATGTAACAACTGTGTAAGCCTTTGTAATAAATGTGTAAACCTTTGTAACAAACATGTAAATCTCTGTAACAGCAGGGCAAACTTTTGTAACAACTGCATAAACCTCTGTAACAACTGGGCAAACCTCTATAACAAACATGTAAGTCTCTGTAACAACAGGGCAAACTTTTGTAACAACTGCATAAACCTTTGTAACAAATGTGTAAACCTCTGTAACAACTGGGCAAACCTCTATAACAAACATGTAAGTCTCTGTAACAACAGGGCAAACTCTTGTAACAACTGTGTAAACCTTTGTAATAAATGTATAAACCTCTGTAACAACAGGGCAAACATCTATAACAAACATGGAAATCTTTGTAACAACAAGGCAAACTTTTGTAACAACTATGTAAACCTTTGTAACAAATGTGTAAACCTCTGTAACAACAGGGCAATCCTCTATCACAAACATGTAAACCTCTGTAATAACAAGGCAAACTACTGTAAAAATATTGTTTCCTAAATTTGTCTCAAAATGAACTCTAGACATTTCAACTTTGCTTACCAAGTAAACGAAATAAGTTAGCCACAGACTTTCCAGTGACGGTACTTCATCCCATATTGGTGGACTTAGTGTTGTCTTATCTCCAAGACCAATGGAGAATGTTATTGAATCAGAACCTACTGAAGGAGCACGTATGAAGCCAAGAATCGAGGAAACTATTTTCTCAAGTAGCATTCCATTTTCATTTTTCCATGATGTATAAATTGCAGCAAGGCAACTCTAGAAACGAAAATCATCTTCATTGACATAAATATTATTGACATGTTTACACTATACCCACTTCAACAGGTTAATCTGGTATTCAACTGGTTTTACTTAGCAACAAACTGCTTACATAGCAACAAGAAAAATTGCTGAACTTGCCACAAAGCTAATGGTACAATGTAAAGTCCATTTTTTTTGCATCTGGGGGAAAATTAATCCAGGGTTAAAATCAATCAAGTGTAGTGTAAACAGGTTGTAAATGAGCCATCTACAATAAATCAGACCATATCCCTTCCCAAAAACCTGAAGCAATTTATCTTTAATGAAACCACAAAACATGAAACAAGCTATTACACAACAATTCTTGCAATGCCAAAAGCACAGGACATAATATCTCAAAATAAGAACACACTTCATCACAAAACTCTTTTGGACAAATGTAATTCAAACATTACGAGCTTGTACTTAACAGCTAAAAAATATTTTACTCAAACACTAACTTTTACTAAATGGAAGCACTCTTTATTAAATCACACCATCCAGAACTTAATATTGGGCTTAAAGCCAGCAAAGAACTGTCACTATTTGATTTCACGCCACAATCAACCAATCCCACCCATCCACTTCCATTGAAATGATGTAATGCACATATAAGTAGAGCCAGTTAGCTTATAAATATAGTCTGATGGTGAATTTGTAACAAAGTCGAAATATAACTTTTCAAATAAAAAATTTCTTGTTTCTTTCTCAAATATTGAGTTAAACAAGAGTCTTCTATACGGAGTATGATTACCAACTTTAACATGATTACCTTCAAAATGTTGAAGTATGAGAGCTTTGATATCAAACAAAGACACTTGGGATAGTATACTTCCATTTCAACATCCTTGGAAGAACTTTGGGTACCATCACTTGACTCAATGGTGATGTCAACAGTTTCTATACCAGAGTTGAGATCTTCTTTGTTTTTTACAAGAGTGAATGGTTCATGAAACGAAAGGCATGCTACATAGCTTCTATTGCCGACCACATCAGTTAGAACGGATACAAAAAATGTTGATTCCTTTTTGTAATATGACATCTCCCATCCAGCAGGCTGGCAAAACTACGAGAAAAGATGAATAACTGTATTGAATAAAACTGAAGAGTAAAAATTATTTGTCAGCAACTAAAAGAAAACTGTGCAAGCCTGAGACCAAAGGTTGGTGGTTTGCACGGGAGCATATAGCACAAGAGTTTTCACAAATGAACTTGATAGTTTTCACAAATGTTATTTCTTCAAGCAAATAACAATAATGCAAAACAGACAAATTAAGAACAAAAGTTTTTATATTTCCTCTAACATGTATTCATGATTGATATACAAACTCTCTTTGATTGGTTCATTGATTTGATTTGCTGAGCTCAGATTGGTCAGCACAGGCTAATGCAAGTAAAAAAATAGACCAATTACCACATGTGTTTTATTGTTTTTATATTAACAAATATGTATGAAACACAAACATATTTATTTCAACATTCTTTGGTTGCGCGTACAGCCATTAGCAGAGCCAGCCAGCAGATTGAAGGATTATCATTATACATTTCTTTAGAAATCTATGGTTGTCACAGTCAGTAAACACAAATATATTGGGATAGCAGAAGGAAAAAGTTGGCTGTCTACCTATGCCACTGAGTAAAATTGCAAAGATTATTGATTTTCAACTTCAAAAATGTTCTATTAGTACATGTGGATTACGATTAGTACATGTGGATACAAAAATAAGTATTCAAGTACAATCAAAGAAGTATTATATAAAACAAATTCCGAAGAAGCAAGACATCTTGAGATTGCAAAATATGAATCCAGACAGATTTTACAGAAATATTACATTCTGTCTGAGGATGACTTTGAAATAAAGTCGAAAATTTACAGTTTACTTCTCGTCTTGTCTTGATTCTTCGGAATTTGTTTTATATTATACTTCTTCAAATTGTCGGTGGTCATGGTTTTTAAGTACAATCAAAATTAAAGCATAAGTTAAAAATTCTAGTCAGGACTTTGACTTTGAGTTTTAGTTATGTACTAACAGACTGTTTATGATTTTCATCATTGCTATTTCACGCTCAGCCCTTTAGCACATAATGAAGCAACTTTTCTGACCACTGTAATGACATTATATGTAATTTATAAAAGGCCATAAAGTTCAAATGACTGTCATGTATAACTGGACTGTTAAGGTGGCATTGCCAATGTTTAGCAATGGCAATACCACAAATACATAAACAGAGAAATACAAAAAATGAACCAATCATATGAAAGTTTTAAGTTTATCTACGTTAAACATTTGAGAAAATCACCTTGCCACAGTATAACGAAAATTTGGAATAAAAATTTTATCATTCTTACGAAACGTACATCATAAAGTTTGTATAATCAATCCCGCGCAATTTTTAAAATTTCCAACTTGTGAGCGGTTTTTGGCCGCTGGAAAACCAGTGATGCGAAGAATTATAGTACGTAATATTATCATCAAATGAAGGTTATGATGAATAGGAAACACATTGACATGACGCAGAGAAAACTTTTGGCAAAGTTTAATTACATTACATAAAGTAACAAGAAAGTAATAATACATGCAAACAAATTTTAAAACAATTTTTTAAGTAATATATTTTACGGCATTACCATTTCGATTGCTTCGGAAAGGCATCATCTTTTCTGTCTTGGGATGGAAATCGTTGAAGCACTTTTCCAGCCAGACTATCTATTTCGACAAAATAATAAAAACAATTTTTTTTCCATAAAACACAAATACGTTGTTTTTCCAATTTGTGAAATTATACGACAATTTACTTGAATCAATAAAGATTCTTGAACAAGATAATTTAAGATGTTTCACACTCAACCCGACCAGATAAATAATAAAAATCACATATACCTGGCGAACTTGTTTTAGGAATGCCAATAACGGCAAAATAATCTGCCAAACGAGACATATTTTAATGCCCTACCCATCACCTTCGATTGCGTCCGCCATATTGAATAAAATATTAGTCTTGCACATGCGCACTTGATATAAGACAAACGCCACTGAACTGAGTTATATTTGGAGCGTTAACGAGTAAATTTAAACTCCCCATTGAGAAGTCCATTCAATATATGACAAGAATAAAATTGACCATGATGGATTAAAGAAAGTTCAAATACAGGCAAAAACTAACGAAAATTACGTTTTTGAAAATCTTAAGCAATTTCAAACCACCAAACTGTTTTTCCATGTTAAATACTTCAAAATTTTATACTATAAAAAAATTTGTCGAATGCTTTAATACCTATATAAGTAAGTTGTATCTGCATCTGCAATGTTGCAGCCTTGTCACAAATGTGTCACGCTGATATCAGCGTTGTAGTTGCGTGAAAGGTACGAGTGATTGTAGTCTGGTCAGCTGCCTTCACTATAATTTAAGTAACCAGGATGTTCCACTTCGTGGAACCCTCATATGTCGAAATCGACGGAGCCATTATTATATAAGTAAGTTAATAAATTCGTAATAATTCTGTCAATCATTTGCATTTGAATATGCATTAGTCAATGTAAACATTTATGTAATTAGTTAAAATACGTTTACTAGACACATATATTCAACCGGCCTCGTGGCCTAATGGATAAGGCGTCTGACTTCGGATCAGAAGATTGCAGGTTCGAATCCTGCCGGGGTCGTATTTTTATATTTGCCTAACACATAAGTTGCAAAAATTCACTAAATCGCGACTCACACAATATAATTTTTCTTTATTTTGCTTACTTCTTCATTTATTTTTGTTGGGAAAAAAGTTATTTCGTTGATATTAAATGTTAGTATAACAGCCTATAATCTGTATGTGAAGTTCATTGAAGGTAGCCTGCATTCTAAATGTACACCTACAAAAACTAAGTCTTCCAACTCTTCATTTACAATCTATTGCACAAATGTTTATTTTACAAAAATTCTAAAACTGCTGTCGACGTATTTGTTAGCGTGAAATGATGGACTTATATTCCTCAAATGTTACCTGGTGCTTGTCAAGGCGACAATACAGTCGTCTTTCAAAAACAGCCTACAACACAATTCAACAATATGGTGTACGACAAATCGCTCACGCTCGGCGAGCCTTCTCCTACAAGTTTTCAAGTTCAGTAGGAAGCACATATTTTCTCGTTTTCAGTGCTGATGGAGAGAAATTAGCATCAAGCCACGCAGATCATACAGTGCGCGTAAGTGATGTTAATTCAAATCTTTGCCTACACGTGTTAAGCGGACATCCGCGTACAGTGTGGTCTGCAGCTTTTCATCCTTCTGACTCATGTTTGATTGCAACTGGTTGCCTTAACGGTGTTGTAAAAGTGTGGGATTTAAACAAAGACTGTAAGCTTGTGAGTAAAACCTCCTGCGATTCTAATGTGACCTCGTTGGCATTTCATCCATCCGAGAGAGTGTTGTTAATCGCAGCAGGAAATCAACTGCTATTTTGGTCATGCAACGAGTCAAAACCGTTTGCTAAAAGCAACGTAACGTCTTTTTATGAAAGGGTTAGACTTGCGAAATTTGGTCCACATGGCAATTTCATAATAACAGGAATACTCCAAGCTGAGCATGAGGAATTTTGTAAAGAAACTTATGAGGCCATATGCCACCAGAATCAAGCACAATCTTTAACTTGTCGTACATCTGTGATACATGTCAATACACACAACATGGAGACGTGTGTAGAACATGTTGAAGATAGGTCACCAGAAGATCAACTGTCAATTTCAATCTTAAACCGACCCGAGTTGCATCGTCTACAATATTGGGATTTTACACACTTTACAATTCCCAGTTTGCAAAAGACCAGCAATAACATTATCACATCAAACTGCAAATTTTTGAATAATTTAGGAGTTGATATATCTTCAGATGGTCGTTTCCTGTGTGCAGCTGTCTTTCCTTCAGCGAATGATGCAGAATCCTGTTATATATGTGTGTTTTCGCTGGAGCAAATGAAACTAGGCGAATGCTTGTACTCTAAAGGTGTTAAACAAAGTGTAATGACAATATGCTTCTCGCCTTTGCATTCTCATCTTATTGTTGGTGTATCCCATGGGATTTCATTGAGTGAGGATGTTGCTGCAAAAGTAGTAGGGCATATTTTCAAGCTTGGTTCTAAAAAAAATCTGTCCAGAGTGATGACATTGAAACTTCAATTTGATGTCAAAAGTATTTCTGAATCAAGAATTTTTTTCTGGTGCAAATGTTAATGCTGTATCATGGCATCCAATGATCAAGTATGGCCTAATTGCCTTTGGCACTAATAAAGGAGGAGTTCACTACTTACATGTTTGACCTAAATATTTTTTCTATTATTCTAATACAAGTTTACAAACAACAATCGTTGTCTCTCCACCCCACCCCCCTCCATTACTTAGTCAACACTTCACCCCAGTAAACCAAAATTTCTTAAGAATTATTTTTTTATTTAGAAATTTCATGCTGATAAGAAATTTTGTGTGTTAATAGCTTAGATTTTCAGAACTTTTGCATTATATTTTGTAGGACGAAAGTCTTATTTTCGTGGGCTAATTGGGCCTCGAGGTCGATGACTCAGCGCCGGAAGTGACGCACATTAGATGACGTACATTAGAGAACACATACATGGACGACATAGTTTTCATTATGCAGGATTATAGTAAACAATGAACCTTAAAAAAGTAGAACTGTTTGGACTCTACCACTCAAATTCTATATTATTGTAAGATGTTTATACTTTACGAAGCAAGCGTGTTCTAACACGTCACTTCCAGCGCTGTTTCACTTCGTTAATTCCTAGCGCGAAAAGCCCATTTAAAAAAATTTTCGACCTATAACAATTAAAGTGCAAATATACTTAAAATCAATCTTACTATCTAAAGAAGTTATTAACTCGAACCCTAATCTCAGTTTGTTATGTGATATGAACTTTTGTTTCAATTTTGAATGTATGAACTTGTAATTGTGATTTTAGCGATCATCAAAAATCAGACGTTCATGTAGATTGTTAGTAAATTACATTTGTTTCTTCATTAAAGTTTATACACTTGTTTATACATTTGTATGGCGACGTGCTCTTATATGGTGAGGGGAGGAGAGCGCCAGGAATTCCCTACACATGGATGAAGACGGTCTCCGACAGTGGGGTAGCTGGCGAGCGTTAACCTGAGAGAGTCAAATTTTCAAAAGTAAGTCTTATCGTCTACAGGTCTGCAGGCAAAGAAAGAAATCACGTCTTTGTGCGACACATCAGATCGATATCAGCTCACAATTTCACTAAAACACGCACTCAAGTGATGAGATACAAGATGTCAGCATGTTGCATAAGGAAAACATTTCACTATTCTCAAAGAACTGTGTGCCGCAGCGCGCATGTACAAGGCGAAGTGATAAAAAATATAAACAATCTATAATCAGCTGTATTTAAAGCAACATGCGGGAAAGACGACTTATCAATTTTTTTGCGCTTTTTGCTGATACATCCACTTGCGAGAATTTTTTTCGTGATCAGTTCTTTTGGCTGGCAGCCATGAAGTTTGAAACTTTAAACTGAAAGATTCTGACAAAAACGATTTTCTAATGCTAATATCGAAATTTGAATTAAACTAAATAAAGATCGAAAATCGTAGAAACCAAAGCAGAATTGTACTTATTCAAAGAAGCATTTCAAGCCCTTGAAACTTTAAACTGAAAGATTCTGGCAAAAACGATTTTCTGATGCTAATATCGAAATTTGAATTAAACTAAATATACATCGAAAATCGTAGAAACCAAAGCAGAATTGTACTTATTCAAACTTGAAACTCCAGTCTTTAATCGTGCACAGACAAAGGAACAGTAGGGTAAGAGCTAGCCTTGCAACGAAAGGTGACTCTGTACCACGTAAACAGTATTTTTACCTGCTTATCTTCTCTTATCTTTACCTGCTCTTTCGCAAGAGTGTCAGTTCTTCCATTTAAAAAGATATCAACTAGTAAAATTAAAAAGGATGACCGGTAACAAACAGTGGCGGATAATGACCTAGAACCAGGTCAGTGCCTAGAACCAATGCTACTAGATATCTGATTCCGCCAAAATTGTATAGCAACATTGAACTAAAATACATGGAACGCTACCTTTAATACAAAACCCAAATAATTTTTTGAGGCCGTGATTTTACCCCAGACACGCGGGTTGTTTCCAAGTCAATCAATTATTACTCCGCGAGAGAATCTCGAAACACAACACACGCGTGTCTGGGTTAAAGTCTCGCGTGTCTTATGTCAAAGATTTGGTATCAATTATTTGCTACAGATAGCGTTCCATGTATTTGAGATCAATGGCGTGACTAGTTGCTCCAAATCTGCGAGTTTTAGCATGCTCAGATGTCATTAGCCATATCGATTAGGAATATTTTTTCTATAAGATATATTGTATGGTCGGGCTGAAGTTTGAGAGCCCGACTTTGTTGCGAAAAGCATGGAACGGCTCACTGTTGCTACGAAACTTCTCACTAACTGCAAATTTTGAGTTTAATTAAACCAAACTCGCTATTTAAAGATTTGGATTAGCCTCTCAACATCCGCAATAAGTTGATTAAAACTGTTTTGAAATTCAAACCCATTTACAGCTCATGGATGCTTTCGTTCATGATGAGGGAATTATAGCTATTGTATGAGGAGGTTCTCGTTCATCACGAGAGAGTTATAAGAAATTTACATCGTAACAAGTAAAAAGTTTCTCTGCATTGTTTTAAAAATTATTTTATTGAGCTTTCGACTCGTTTACTTCTCGTCTTGTTTTGATTCATATTTTGCAATCTCAGACATGCCAAGTCTCACGATTTTATCGTGAGACTCACGATTTTGATGTAAATCTCACGGTCTTACGATTTTTCTCGTATATCTCACGATAAATAAAATGGAAATCCTTAAAGGGTCTATAAATTTTTGTAGACATAATTATTAGTGTAGTTCCTTTGTGTCGAATCATCAGATAGTACGATCGGATCGGATGAGATTGAATCTCAAGATGTCTTGCTTCTTCGGAATTTGTTTTATATTAAACTGATAGTAGTCAGCTATCCGTAACTGCAAGCGCCCGCGATCATATTTTGTGTGTGTGTTTTTATTTTTTGTGTATATTTTTATTTTGTATTTGTATAATGTATTTTGTGTGTGTATTTTTATTTTGTTTGTGTACAATTCTTATTATTTTTTTTGGTGTCCCGTGTGAGCCACCGTAATATTGAACAGTCACGCTTAAAGGAAATGACGCAAGATTCAAATCAACTCAATCTATAAATAATACGTTAAAATATGACGTAGGAAATAATTAGTTATCTTCAAATTTTAGCATTGTGTTGGGCATGTGCGATCCATGCAATTTACATATTACATAAAAAATGAAAGTTTCTCTGCATTGTTTTAAAAATTATTTTATGGAGCTTTCGACTCGTTTACTTCTCGTCTTGTTTTGATTCATATTTTGCAATCTCAAGATGTCTTGCTTCTTCGGAATTTGTTTTATATTAAACTGATAGTAGTCAGCTATCCGTTACTGCAAGCGCCCGCGATCATATTTTGTGTGTGTGTTTTTATTTTCTGTGTATACTTTTATTTTGTATGTGTATAATGTATTTTGTGTGTGTATTTTTATTTTGTATGTGTATAATGTATTTTGTGTGTGTATTTTTATTTTGTTTGTGTATAGTTCTTATTATTTTGTGTGGTTTCCCTTGTGAGCCACCGTAATATTGAACAGTCACGCTTAAAGGAAATGACTCAAGATTCAAATCAGCACAATCTATAAATAATAAGTTAAAATATGACGTAGAAAATAATTAGTTATCTTCAAACTTTAGCACTGTGTTAGGCATGTGCGATCCATGCGATTTACATATTACATAAAAAATGAAAGTTTCTCTGCAATGTTTTAAAAATTATTTTATTGTAATTTCGACTCGTTGCTTCGAGCCTTCATCAGAATGAGGAAATTATTATTTACAGTTGTTTTTAGCTTGTAGACGCTTAGATTGTCTAATTGGATTAGTGGGTGGATTGATGTGATCGGATGGGGTGGAATGCGTTGCCATGAGTTTTGGTGTATTGTTAATATGATCAGTGTTTATATTATTAGAGTGTAATGTTGTAGTTTTGTTGTTGTTTGTAGTTTTTTTGTCCTTATTTTCTAGTTGTGAGTATATGATGGGTATGTCGATATGTCTGTTTATTGTGTCGTTGTCTTTACTGTACCAAGCTTCTTTAAATTCGCGTGCGTGTTTAGTCTGTGCGCGTACTACTACTTTAGTGGAATGTGTGGTTATCTCCGTGGGTAAGTTTTGCGTGTAGTGAATTCGGATCTCGTCGTTTTATGGCGTTTTTGTGTTCCGTGAGTCTTGTTTCGATTTCCTTTGATGTTTGTTCTATGTATTGCTTTGAATAGTCTTTACATGGTATCATGTAGATCGCGTCAGTTGTATCATGAATTGCTGTTTTGTCTTTATGTTTGGTAAAACATGATTTGAGTTTTTGTGTAGGTTTGTGGGCGAGGTTAATATTAAATAATCGAAGACATCTGGCACTCATTTCTGATGTTCCGTTTATGTATGGTAATGTGATGATTTTTACTGCTTCGTTCGGTTTCTTGTTGCTTTTGTCAGTTTGTGTTTTGCTTTGTATTTTGTTTATAGTTTTGTTTATGAAGTTTCTAGGGTATTTACATGCAGGGGCGGATTGAAACTACGTCACATTCAGCACGCGACGTAGTTAAATTCTTCACAGCAGCGGAAAAAATTAATCAAATTTTAAATGCCCCTAGTTGAAAATAAAAACAATTTGCCGCGTGGGGAACGAAGTCCGTTTTGTCGAAAGGACTAAGAGCATTTTTCTATTCGTCTTTTGCAGGTTCGAGTCTCGTCTCGGTATGGTGTAGTTTGTTTCGTTGTGTGAATAATGATCATGAATTCTTTATCCGAAAATTAATTAAATTTTTTCTGTCCTCACAACGAAAGCATTAGAAAAATAAGCATATTGTCAGGGTTAAGGATAGTATTATGAGAAAATTGTGCAACAACGTGCATTCACTGAGCAATGTTATTGTTTCCAAGACCTGGATTAAGATTGGGATTAAGGGATCAAGTGGCTAAAATAAATTATATTTCACTTGCGGGAGAAATACCCATAGCTAACCCGCACAGAGTCAGCACGCCTTAAATTGTGCTGAATTTGGAGACTAAAATCTGTCTCTTGATTGGTTTATTGCCGTTGTGCTGACTAACGAGCCGCCGTTTTTGCTGAAATATTCCAGCGGTGTTGTGCGAAATTCAGCACAGATTGAGATTGTTGATAGCTGAGGTTTTATCTTTGAGCTTCAAAACCAACGATTTAATGAGAAGCATGGCATCTTTCACTGATCGAGTCGAAGATGCTTTTACGAGGAAAGATGAGACTTTTATGGCTCAACTCTACGGAGAGATGTTGGATTGCCTGAAAGTCAACAGCATTGTTACCAACGATAATTTGTTGGATCGTCTCGGTGTTGATATTTTCCGAAATATCAATGCCGAATTTTACATACCGCAGAGTGCCAAGACAAAGAACACAAATTTGGTTGCCTTAAGGTTAGAAAACTTATGACATGTTATGCATGCATGCTTACACAAGAATATATAAGCAAATATAAATTGACTTGATGTGATGCCCGATGGATTTGTCATTTGTGGTTTATTTATGTGATTCAAAACAAAACAAATTTTCGAATTTCGATCATATTTAAAACGTTTCTATTGATTTATTTCTTGATGTGTTTAATAGTATACTTAAGATAAGATATACAAAAATGAACTGAAGCATAATATTTGAAATTTACATAACATTATTTCAGATCTGCTACAAATGGCAACTGCCTCTATAGTTCATTGTCAATTCTGCTTGTTGGTGACAACTCTGTGGTGACTATTTTGAGGCTCATGACCTCTATAGAATTATTTTTATATGCTGATTATTATGCAAAACATCCATGTTTTTCAAATCTTTTTGAAACTCAGCATAACAAACACTTTGATTCCATCTCAAGCATGGTGGCCATGTCAGTCTCTTTTGAAGCTTTTGATAGTGCTGGAAGTGGTGGTTCTATTGCTGATTTTGTCAGTGCAGTAGCTGTGTTAAATGCAAAAGATATGGCATGGACTGGGTTTGTTTGTTTGTTGGCACTCTCTTCAGTTACATCCTGTAGCATTTTTTCTTATTATCTTGACATATACTCTAGTGCTTATAGGTGGAATTTATTATTTAACCAAAGAATTGAACCTCGAATTCGATCTAGAGCTTGTGCTTCCACTAGTAATTATTTGCTAGTTTTGTTTTGCTTTGAAGGTTCAGCTCCTCAAGCAACTGCATTCAAACACAATCACTATGTGCCTTTGATACTTGGAGGGAAGGGAACTAAAAGAAAGGGAAGTAGTCACTCGTCACAAGCTAAAAAGACCAGTATACAAACAAAGTTGAGGTTTACACCTTCTGGTCCTACTGAGACAACCATGAAAACTAAGGCTCATCCATATGGTATATCTCACAGTAGCGCTTTGGGTTCTTGTGATGCTTCTTTTATTTCATCTTCTACCTTGCAATTACCAGATAATAAAACTGCAAATGCTGATTTGCCTAGAAATCCATATGATGTTGGTTTTTATAGAGAAAAGGTGAGAGGTATGGAAATTCATGAAATTGAAAAACTTGTGAAGAATGTATTCGTACCTGATGAATGCTATGAATTTCCTAAAACTGTTGATGCAAATGGTCGCAGTAGGTCCTTTCGACATGATTGGCTGAAGGATTATCTTTGGCTTTCGTATTCTCCAAGTCTTAATGGTGCTTTTTGCTTACCATGTGTTTTGTTTGGTGATAGGTTTCCCATTAACACATTGGCCTGATGCTAAAAGTGCAATAAAAAGGCATATAAGTACATCATCAGGTCTTCATGTTCACACTTCGGCTCTTCTTAAGGATATCTTGGATCAGAGTTCCGGTAAAAGCCAGCCAATAAATGTCATGATTGACAGTAACTTAAAGAAAAAGATTTCAGAGAATAGGAAAAAATTAGTTCCAGTAGTTGATACCATCATTCTTGCAGGTCGCCTTCAATTACCACTTAGAGGTCATCGGGATGATTCTCAGTATCATCCTGAAGTTGGTGAATATTCTGAAAAGCATGTTGGTAATTTTATTGAATTATTAAACTTCCGTGTTCGTGCAGGGGACACCATTTTGGAATCCCATCTTAAGCATCATGATAAAATGCCTCCTACATCTCTAAAACTACTCAGAATGAGTTAATTAGGTGTTGTGGTCAATTCATCACTGAACAGCTTCTAGTTGAAGTAAAAAAGAGCAAGTTTTATGCATTGATTGCAGACGAAACATGTGATATTTCTAATAAAGAACAGATGTCTTTGGTTTTGCGTTTTGTTGACGAGGAGTTCAACATAAGAGAAGAATTTTTTCGTTTCATTCATTGTAGTGAGGGTATGTCTGGGAAGGACCTTGCATCTGTGATTTTGAAATGTTTAAACGAAGAGTTGAATTTGAACATTCAGGACTGTCGTGGGCAGGGTATGATGGCGCAGGTGCTGTTGCTGGATGCATTAATGGTCTTGCTGCAAGGATTAAGAATTTGAATGAGAAAGCCATTTACACACATTGTTTCAGTCACAGATTAAATCTTAGTATTTGTGGGACTTGTGCTGTTCAGTATGTAAGAAATGTTTTGGAACATGTGAAGGAAGTTGCTAACTTTTCAACTCTTCCCAATGCAGACAACTAATTTTGGAGAAATGCATTGGAGAACGCTGTCCAGATTCTGCAAAAAAGAGATTGAAAAGTGCTTGTAAGACAAGATGGGTCGAGCGTATTACTAGCTTAGATACTTTTGAAGAACTGTATGTTGCTATTGTTTTTTCCTTGGAAGAAATGAGTTTTAACGTCGAAGGCAAGTGTAATCGTGAGACCTCTAGTAAAGCTTCCCCTCTGTTACATCTTTTGACATCTTTTGATTTTATTGCAGCACTCGTAATAACTAGATGTATTTTTGATCTTACTCTTCCAGTTACTCAGTTACTTCAGTCTTCTAGTAATGATATTGCTGACGGTTTGAACTTGATTGAGGCATTAAAAAAATTGTCGAGAACTGTAAGAAATGAAGTCGATGTTTATCATGCTAACTGGTACAGTATTGCATTGACGATGGCAGAAAAGGTGGGTGTTGAAGAGAAAAAACCTAGAACTTGTGGTCGTCAGGCAATTAGAAGTAATGTTCCGTCTGAATCTGTATCTGATTACTTTAAGAAAACAATAACCATTCCTTTAGCTGATCACTTGTGTTCTGAGTTAGAAAAACGGTTTGATTCATCAGCAACTAGCATATATTATGGCTTGTTTTAATTCCATCCAAGTTACTTTTGTGTCTTTCTTGTGGCGTTTCTTGGAAGGAAAAATTTTATTCATTTTCTTCTTTGTTCTTGGATGATCTTCCAAATCCAAAGGCTTTAGATGGTGAACTTGATCTCTGGCAGAAATACTGGGAATCGTCTTCTACAACTTGTCTTCCTGAAAATGTCTCTTCTACTTTAAAGTCGGTAAATTTTCCAGGTTTTGAGAACATAAAAGTATTGTTAAAGATCTTAGGTACTATTCCAGTCACTTCTTGTGAGTGTGAGAGGTCGTTCTCTGCTTTGCGAAGACTAAAGAACTATACAAGAAGTACTATGGCTGCTGACAGGTTAAATGGTCTTGCTTTATTGTATATTCATCAGGACATTAATCTAGATATAGAAAAATTATAGATCTTTTGCAAAAGACAAAGAAGAATTGAACTAGCTTTCTAGTAAGGAGTGAAAGTTTTTCATGCCTTTTTTAAACTCTTGACTGTAAAGATGACTGCCGCTAACCTCAGTCAATATAAACACAAACAATCGTTCTCAGGACTTTACTTACCTGGACGATCGACATCTACAAACATTTTTTGCTTTTTTTGTTGACAACTTCATTTGATAAATTGACATAAAATCGTTTGCATAATAATCAGCATATAGGTATGACTAGACCATTATAAAATGAAATTCCATATTGATGAAGCGTAAAGAATTTTTTTAGGCTAAGTTTGTAATGAACCAGGCCGTCCATGTCGGAAGCCCTCAAAGCATTTTTTTGCGAGTTTCCTAGGCATGCTGATGAGCTCTGATATTGAGCGAAACGGTCAAAAATCGATAATTTATGAGCAAGAATGTTAGCTCATTCCAGAAATAAATATTTTAGAAGACCAACTGCAAAACGCAGGAAATAGCGTTTTTCGCAATACAATTTTAAAATTTTACCGGGGGGGACATGTTCCTGGACCCCCCCCTAGAAAAGTCGCGCTAACGGTGCGACATTGTGCCTAAGTTCATATACGAAGCTGGATCCGCCCCTGTTTACATGTTATAAATGGCAACACGAATCCAATATAAAAACATTGCCCAGTTTCGTAACGAATCCGTAATCTATTGCCCTAGTGTGAATAAAACAACGTCAGAATGAAAAACTAAATAATTGTTATATTGTATAGGTAAAAAGCTAGAAACTAATAATGGTACATGAAAAAATTTTAAGGTTTGCCACGCACGTCAACGCTCTAGACAATTCCATTGATTTGACAAGTTTGAAACACGCTAATACGTACATAATCGTTAGATACATACAAGTAGTCACGTAAAAATTTATCTTAAATCTATTCAGGAATTTTAGTAATGTTCTTTTATATATAGTTATTCTGCTTTTTGTGGTAACGAAACATATGCTATAACGCCAGAGATGTTTTGACAGCTCGATCGCTAAAATCTTGTGGGTAAGACGATAAGACATAACATTATGATGGTCAAGTTATTTCTTTCGATCTTTTCTTACATTATTCATTACATTTTTTGCTAGCAATTAATTCCACCGGCAAGTTTTCGTTTGGTCAAGTTAGCCAGATTGTGGCAGAAATGAACGTCACAGTAAACAAAACAGAGGTAAGTTTCTGAAATTGGTCTTAAATTTTAATGACTGCTTTCAGTTGTAGAAATAATATATGATTGTTAATGCTGATACCGCAATACTCGTCAATTTTATGGGCAGTCTGCAGTCAAATTCTTTAAACAATTTCTCTCGATTTTGTTCTCCTAAGCGGACATTAAAGTTCGACTATGGTTATTTGAGCCATTAGTGTAAATGATGTAGTCAATCTATTTGGCAAGCGCTGCATAATCATTCTTTTAAAATGCATTTAGTCATATGGTCATGAGGAAACAATCGCATCAATGGCCATGTCAATGATGGGTGTCGTAAACAACAGTCTTCTTATCATTGTTATTCTGGTGGATCCTCTTCGTATTATAAGACGAGGACCATGGATAACTATTCTTAGCTTAGCCTCAGCCAATTTTATTGCTTCTCTTTCAAAGTTCTTGACACTTGGATTAACAGCGGAGTTTGGTATCGAAGTGTCAAATGAAATCAAGTCTGCTTGTTTATACGTGTGGATGCTTGGAGCGGCAGGCTCATTTTTTCACTTGACATCACTTACATGGCAAACCCTTGCCACTGCCAAATATCCTATACGTAGTCGACAAATGTTATCTACGAGGAAAGTTATCATCCTATGCATAACAATGTGGTTTGTGGCCAGTTGCATTGCTTTAGGAGAAATTTCACATGAAATTTTCGATATTTCGTTCGAGCAGGTGATGCATATCTATACAACGGAATATGCCGTTTTAGAATTTGCTGTTTTCCTCCAGATTATCATGAAGTGTTTTATCATCAAGGAAGTAATGCTAAGTCGACCAAATGCAAATATGAATGGGCAACAACAGAACAGTAAAGAGCTCGAAATTGCAAAGACAATCGTCATTCTGAATATAGTTTTATTTGTAACTGCCTTTCCATATTTTGTCGCCAAACAAGTGGAATTCATGAAGAGATTAGGGAAAATACAGAGCAGCTATGCTCGACACTTTGCAGTGCACTATGAACCAGTTGCTTTGTTGAATTTTGCTCTCAATCCAATCGTATACGCACTTAGACTTAAGAATTATCGCAATAGTCTTAAATCGTTTTTGAGATATTTTCGAAATTCGAGATCTAATCTCAATTTTCTGAACTATGCATCTGTTTCTAGAAGAAACGCAGCAGATGTGTAGATAAAATGCAAGATGGCCCATGGTGACGACATATTCGGTAAACTGCAATAATTGCCCATTGATTCTTCATTCAACATTTATAAACTTGTGTGACAAAGCTGCACGATATCAACTTGTTAAGTATTTAAAGTAGAGAATACATGTAGATAGAAAGGAATTCCCTTATAAAAATTACATATCCACAAAGATATAAATTGTTGTGGTACGTGGACCGGACTCAATTCATTCAACTAAATCAACAACACAATCAACTAAATCATTACACTTTACACTAATACACAATTACAATACACAATTGACACCCACACATTACAGCTAACATTATCACCAACCTGGACGATATACATTTAGAAATATGTAACTCAATTTATTCCTCGCATAAAAACTAGAAATAGAAGCTTCAACGCAATATTTTATGGCTAAAATGATAAAAAAATTTGACGTTTCACTTTGTGGTAGTTGGAGCTCTTTGTACTCTTATGTCATCTTATGTCATCTTTGTCATCTTATGTAGATAAAAAATTGACGTTTCACTTTATCGTAACAACAACGATTAATTAAGGCATGGCGAACAGTGTTTGTTATTCTGCAGAGGTATTTTAGTTAATCAGCTAGTGAAAGAAGTGAAAAATATAATAGTTCTAGCAATACTATGATATCAATTCACAAAACGATCATTTAATTCGATTGATTGTTTCACAATGAGGGGTCTTATGAATAATCGGTCTTTTTCAGGTCTTCAAATAGACCGATTATTTATTATTTAATTCCTCATGCAAGTGATAAATCAAACAAAGGTAAGTTTACAAATTAATCAAATATTTTTTATATTTCAACACACTCTTTGTTTCCGCACTTTCTATGCATGATAATCTGTTGTGACGACATGGCATCAAAACACGTATTTAACAATGTAAGACCTTAAAATTGAATATTTAGCATGTTAGAGCTGCTGAAAAATTTTTGTTTGAATTTATTTGCTGTCTATAGGTTAGGGTTAGGGTTAGGGTTAGGGTTAGGGTTAGGGTTACTTCATGAGTTCTGAGTATTGCGTATTTGATCAGTAGATAGTACGAAAGCCATTTTTCCTCTGCATTCAATTGCATGTAAGGTTTTCAACAGCGTGAATAGTCTAAATCAAGCACATTTAGCTAGCACGGCTGGAATATCAAAAACGTTCAAATCCTAATTTTGTCCAGATACAATGGACCTCTCAAAAGCCCGGGCCTTTATGCTTAAGTCTACTTAGTCTACTGGTTAATCCATCTCTGGTTTCGAATTAAGTTACACAGTAACTTTAATTTATACCAAAGTGGTGGTGCGCAAGCATACGTTTTACGCTTATATCGCATTTTACTTATACACACTGGCGGTCATTATTGACAAGATACATTCGAGAAAAGATCACAATCCGTTTATCAATCGGGAAACGATATAGTCACCGCCGTAGGGTATAACAAGATTTTAAACTATAAGCAGGACTCTGAATTATAGCCCTTGTTTATGGAGAAAGGGGTGTGGCCCCCCGCTCCTAGTTTCTATTTGAATTGCAACAAGCACCTATACTTAAATTTGTAAAAAGGGGTGGTTTTAGAACCCAGCAAGTGACTATCTGAATTGGGTGGTGAGGGTTGAAAATATATGTCTGCTTTTGAGTAGAAATGTTTTACGGCTGCCAAGTTACAGTGAAAAACCCAAATAAACTTGATGATTAACAAAACGAGAAATATGATTTTGAACATTCTATTGTTTGAGAGCTGCTGCATCATCTTCCAAGCACTATAGGTTTGTCCTATTCACCAGCTTTCACCGTTGTATGAAATGCTTTGGCGTAAAATATTGTACTGTGCTGAAAGTAGCAAACACTACCATTGGCAAGCAAACTGTAAACAATTTTAAATGTCTCTGATAGCTTTAAGGCTGCCTAAAAATTGAAATTGGAAGTTTGGAAAATAGGGATGCAAATTGTTTTTGAATTTGGTCATTTCAGCATTATCATGGGTTCTCTGTTTTATTTCAAGTGTTACCAGTGTTTTCTTTATTCTTTGTTCGAAAAGGCATGCGGAAATGTGCATATTGGTGATGCTTTTGTTTATTCGCAGTTTAAAGATTAACAGTATTGGTGACTTACAACATTGTAGTTTTGTTTAAATGCAGCAAAGTACTCCATCGACTCTTTAGAAAACAAAATCTTTGTTTTCTAAAGCGTTCTTAGAAGATTCTTTGTTTCTACAATATCCGGACTCGCTACGTTTTTGTCCTCATAGGAACAAAACAGTAATTAAGCGATGGTCTGACTGTCTGTTTGCATTAGAGTTTTAATAATCAAACAAAAATATGTCATTGGCATTTTGTGCTACTATAACAGAGAAGACGTTTCTAAATTATTGCTATTTACATACAAAATTATTTCATAGTCTTTATTTCAAGGTCGTTATTGTTTGTAGTTGTTGGTTATATGATTATGCTATCATTCTTTTTGTTTAATAACATTCCAACTATTTAACCTTGAGTTTATTATAAGGTTGTATCAGATATGTGTGATTGTGATTTTAACATGTGGTCGACTAGTACTTGTTGCATTTAACAGTTTTAACTGCGAAATATTTTAAATGACATTTGGAAAGGAATCTAAAGCAAGCCCTTGCGATACTGAAACGAAAAATTAATGAGAGAAATAATAAGCAATTATTGACCGAGGTCAATGTTTTTTGCCTCAGCTTCGCTTCGGCAGATAACATTGTTACATTGACCTCGCTCTGAATAATTCTTGATATCATGCTTAACCTCATCCTTTTCCTCTTAAAGTCCTGTTTTAAGAAAATACAAAGACATCTTTCTCAACCGGTGAAATTTGTTACCATTTATGACACTATTTTTAATTCTGACGTTGTTTTACACTAGGGCAATAGATTACGGATTTGTTACGAAGCTGGGCAATGATTTTATATTGGATTCGTGTTTCCATTTATAATATGTAAATTGCATGGATCGCACATGCCTAACACAGTGCTAAAATTTGAAGATAACTATTATTTTCTACGTCATATTAAACAGTCACGCTTAAAGGAAATGACTCAAGACTCAAATCAGCACAATCTATAAATAATACGTTAAAATATGACGTATGAAATGATTAGTTATCTTCAAATTTTAGCATTGTGTTAGGCATGTGCGATCCATGCAATTTACATATTACATAAAAAAATGAAAGTTTCTCTAGATTGTTTTAAAAATTATTTTATTGAGCTTTCGACTCGTTTACTTCTCGTCTTGATTTGATTCATATTTTGCAATCTCAAGATATCTTGCTTCTTCGCAATTTGTTTTATATTAAACTGATAGTAGTCAGCAATCCAACACTGTAAGCGCCCGCGATCATATTTTGCGTGTGTGTTTTTATATTCTGTGTATATTTTTATTTTGTATGTGTATAATGTATTTTGTGTACAATAAGAATTATACACAAACAAAATAAAAATACTTTTATTTTGTTTGTGTATAATTCTTATTATTTTGTGTGGTATCCCTTGTTAGCCACCGTAATATTGAACAGTCACGCTTAAAGGAAATGACTCAAGATTCAAATCAGCACAATGTATAAATAATACGTTAAAATATGACGTAGAAAATAATTAGTTATCTTCAAACTTTAGCACTGTGTTAGGCATGTGCGATCCATGCAATTTACATATTACATAAAAAATGAAAGTTTCTCTGCATTGTTTGAAAATTATTTTATTGTAATTTCGACTCGTTGCTTCGAGCCTTCATCAGAATGAGGAAATTATTATTTACACGTGTTTTTAGCTTGTAGACGCTTAGAGCGTCTAATTGGATTAGCGGGTGGATTGATGTGATCGGATGGGGTGGAATGCGTTGCCATGAGTTTTGGTGTATTGTTAAACATGATCAGTGTTTATATTATTAGAGTGTAATGTTGTAGTTTTGTTGTTGTTTGTAGTTTTTTTGTCCTTATTTTTTAGTTGTGAGTATATGATGGGTATGTCGATATGTCTGTTTATTGTGTCGTTGTCTTTACTGTACCAAGCTTCTTTAAATTCGCGTGCGTGTTTAGTCTGTGCGCGTACTACTACTTTAGTGGAATGTGTGGTTATCTCCGTGGGTAAGTTTTGCCGGTAGTGAATTCGGATCTCGTCGTTTTATGGCGTTTTTGTGTTCCGTGAGTCTTGTTTCGATTTCCTTTGATGTTTGTTCTATGTATTGCTTTGAACAGTCTTTACATGGTATCATGTAGATCGCGTCAGTTGTATCATGAATTGTTGTTTTGTCTTTATGTTTGGTAAAACATGATTTGAGTTTTTGTGTAGGTTTGTGGGCGAGGTTAATATTAAATAATCGAAGACATCTGGCACTCATTTCTGATGTTCCGTTTATGTATGGTAATGTGATGATTTTTACTGCTTCGTTCGGTTTCTTGTTGCTTTTGTCAGTTTGTGTTTTGCTTTGTATTTTGTTTATAGTTTTGTTTATGAAGTTTCTAGGGTATTTACATGTTATAAATGGCAACACGAATCCAATATAAAAACATTGCCCAGTTTCGTAACGAATCCGTAATCTATTGCCCTAGTGTGAATAAAACAACGTCAGAATGAAAAACTAAATAATTGTTATATTGTATAGGTAAAAAGCTAGAAACTAATAATGGTACATGAAAAAATTTTAAGGTTTGCCACGCACGTCAACGCTCTAGACAATTCCATTGATTTGACAAGTTTGAAACACGCTAATACGTACATAATCGTTAGATACAAAAAAGTAGTCACGTAAAAAATTATCTTAAATCTTATCAGTAATTTTAGTAATGTTCTTTTATGTATAGTTATTCTGCTTTTTGTGGTAACAAAACATACGCTATAACGCCAGAGATGTTTTGACAGCTCGATCACTAAAATCTTGTGGGTAAGACGATAAGACATAACATTATGATGGTCAAGTTATTTCTTTGGATCTTTTCTTACATTACTCATTACATTTTTTGCTAGCAATTAATTCCACCGGCAAGTTTTCGTTTGGTCAAGTTAGCCAGATTGTGGCAGAAATGAACGTTACAGTAAACAAAACAGAGGTAAGTTTCTGAAATTGGTCTTAAATTTTAATGACTGCTTTCAGTTGTAGAAATAATACATGATTGTTAATGCTGATACCGCGATACTCGTCAATTTTATGGGCAGTCTGCAGTCAAATTGTTTAAACAATTTCTCTCGATTTTGTTCTCCTAAGCGTAAGTTAAAGTTGGACTATGGTTATTTGAGCCATTAGTGTAAATGATGTAGTCAATCTATTTGGCAAGCGCTGCATAATCATTCCTTTAAAATGCTTTTAGTCATATGGTCATGAGGAAACAATCGCATCAATGGCAATGTCAATGATGGGTGTCGTAAACAACAGTCTTCTTATCATTGTTATTCTGGTGGATCCTCTTCATATTATAAGACGAGGACCATGGATAACTATTCTTAGCTTAGCCTCAGCCGATTTTATTGCTTCTCTTTCAAAGTTCTTGACACTTGGATTAACAGCGGAGTTTGGTATCGAAGTGTCAAATGAAATCATAGTTGCTTGTTTATACATGTGGATGCTTGGAGCGGCAGGCTCATTTTTTCACTTGACATCACTTACATGGCAAACCCTTGCCACTGCTAAATATCCTATACGTAGTCGACAGATGTTATCTACGAGAAAAGTTATCATCCTATGCATAACAATGTGGTTTGTGGCCAGTTGCATTGCTTCAGGAGAAATTTCACATGAAATTTTCGATATTTCGTTCGAGCAGGTGATGCATATCTATATAACCGAATATGCCGTTTTAGAATTTGCTGTTTTCCTCCAAATTATCATGAAGTGTTTTATCATCAAGGAAGTAATGCTAAGTCGACGAAATGCAAATATGAATGGGAAACAACAGAACAGTAAACACCTCGAAATTGCAAAGACAATCGTCATTCTGAATATAGTTTTATTTGTAACTGCCTTTCCATATTTTGTCGCCAAACAAGTGGAATTCATCGAGAGATTAGGGAAAATACAGAGCAGCTATGCTCGACACTTTGCATTGCACTATGAACCAGTTGCTTTGTTGAATTTTGCTCTCAATCCAATCGTATACGCACTTAGGCTTAAGAATTATCGCAATAGTCTTAAATCGTTTTTTAGATATTTTCGAAATTCGAGATCTAATCTCAATTTTCTGAACTATACATCTGTTTCTAGAAGAAACGCAGCAGATGTGTAGATAAAATGCAAGATGGCCCATGGTGACGACATATTCGATAAACTGCAATAATTGCCCATTGATTCTTCATTCAACATTTATAAACTTGTGTCACAAAGCTGCACGATATCTACTTGTTAAGTATTTAAAAGTAGAGAATACATTTAGATAGAAAGGAATTCCCCCATAAAAATTACATGTATATGCTTCCACAAAGATATCAATTGTTGTGGTACGTGACCGGACTCGATTTATTCAACTAAATCAACAACACAATCAACTAAAATCATTACACTTTACACTAATACACAATTACAATGCACAATTGACACCCACACATTACAGTTAAAAACATCACCAAACTGGACGATCTACATTTAGAAACATATAACTCAATTTATTCCTCGCATAACAACTAGAAATAAGAGCTGCAACGCAATATTTTTTTGCTAAAATGATAAAAAAAATTGGACGTTTCACTTTGTGATAGTTGGAGCTCTTTGTACTCTTATGTCATCTTTCTCATCTTTGTCTTTTTATGTAGATAAAAAATTGACGTTTCACTTTGTCGTAACAACAACGATTAATTAACGCATGGCGAACTGTGTTTGTTATTCTGCAGAGGTATTTTAGTTAATCAGCTAGTGAAAGATGTGAAAAATATAGTAGTTCTAGCAATACTATGATATCAATTCACAAAACGATCATTTAATTCGATTGATTGTTTCACAATGTGGGGTCTTGTGAATAATCGGACTTTTTAAGGTCTTCAAATAGACCGATTATTTATTATTTAAATCCTCATGCAAGTGATACATCAAAGGTAAGTTTACAAACTAATCTAATATTTTTCTATATTTCAACACACTCTTTGTTTCCGCACTTTCTATGCATGATAATCTGCTGTGACGACATGGCATCAAGTCCAACAAAACACGTATTTGACAATGTAAGACCTTAAAATTGAATATTTAGCATGTTAGAGCTGCTGAAAATTTTTTGTTTGAATAGATTTGTTGTCTATAGCCAATTCATATGTACATACTCTTTCAAATTTTACATTCCTCACAGAATAAAAATTATACAGAAGGACCACTCAAATGTGCACCGCGTCCTCACGTTCGGGTTGGGATAAAACGCGGATACGGATGGCACGGATAAGGATACGGAGGAGGGGATAAAACACGGATATTCTTAAAATTTTATTTCTTTCAATTGGTAGTTTTACCAAAATTAACACGAAAACGTTTTGCATCAACATTGTGTGCTTTTATTTAAATTGTTTCATTTGCAAATTATAAGAAAGTAAAACCTAAATATTTTTAAAACATCACCCAGAAACGTGATGTTTTATAGTGTTGTTTTGGGTTATTTGGTATGTATGTTGAGGAAAAATACATGCATTGCATGACATTGCATTAACGTTAGCGGCAAAGGTTGGGGTAGAAGAATGTAAGCGAAGGACAATTGGAAAGCAAACTACAAGGCCCAATCCTCCTTATCGTTCTGTCTAGGAGTATTACAAACGAATCTATACGATTCCATTAATTGACTATCCTCTCTCTTCTTTATATGCAAGATTTGACACGGAAAGTGGAAATATCTGTCAGGTACTGAGTATTGTTTCAAGAAAAATGTTTTCTCTTATAAAAAATGGGGTTAACTGGAAGCAGAAATTCAAGATTGTTTCCAAATTTTACATTGATGATTTACCCAATCTGTTATATTTGAATGCAGAGTTGTTATTATGGCAATCCTTCTGGGAACATCGTAAAGGTCCTTATACAAGAAATGTAGCTACAGCATTAAAAGCTATAAATTTTGATGGTTTTCAAAACATAAAGGTCATACTTGAAATATTAGCAACCCTTCCCATAACTTCATGGGAATGTGAACGGTCTATTTCAGCGCTGCGAATTCTTAAGGATTATAAGCGGAGTACTATGATTGAAGAAAGATTAAATGGTCTTGCTTTAATAAAAATCCATCAGGAAATTCTTGCAGTGCAACGCGTGATTGATAAATTTTCTGTTGAGAACACTAGATTAAAATTAATTTAAATCATACTTTAAGGTTTGCGTTTTAAAATCTAATAGTGCAATAATAACTTCACTTTAATAGTGTATTGAAAAGAATTTACTATTTTTGCAACACGTTCTATTAAACTTGGATAGTCAGAATAAAATAAAATAGATAATTGGTGGGGGTGAATCAGGAAGGGAAGTAAAGGGTTAGAAATTACTGGAATGGTGTGAAAACATCAACAACTTCACATCCACGAAATATTCCATATAGTTCACCCATCGTCCAACCAAACTACTGTTGCTCGTGGAAAAGGTGTGAAGGCTATTTTCTGGCCTCACCTTGACATGGTAGTTAGACATCTTGAGGATTGGGTTCTAAATCATTGTGGGCGGATTACTAATTACAGGGCCCTGTCTATTCCTCTCATTAAGTTCAGTTTCCCTTTGCTTTTGCATTTGCTCTGTTTGTAACCCCATAGGGTAAGAAATGAAAAATAGTTCATTTTAAAGTTAAAACGAAATTTCGAAAAACATCGACATGGTCAGGGAAATAGGAAAAGCCAATACTTCATGAGTTCTGAGTATTGCGCATTTGAACAGTAGATAGTACGAAAGCCATTTTTCCTCTGCATTCAATTGCATGTAAGGTTTTCAACAGCGTGAATAGTCTAAGTCAAGCACATTTAGCTAGCACGGCTGGAATATCAAAAACGTTCAAATCCTAATTATGTCCAGATACAATGGACCTCTCAAAAGCCCGGGCCTGTATGCTTAAGTCTACTTAGTCTACTGGTTAATCCACCTCTGGTTTCGAATTAAGTTACACAGTAACTTTTGTTTATATCAAAGAGGTGGTGCGCAAGCATACGTTTCACGCTTATATCGCATTTTACTTATACACACTGGCGGTCATTATTGACAAGATACATTCGAGAAAAGATCACAATCCGTTTATCAATCGGGAAACGATATAGTCACCGCAGTAGGGTATAACAAGATTTTAAACTATAAGCAGGACTCTGAATTATTGCACTTGTTTATGGAGAAAGGGGTGTGGCTCCCCGCTCCTAGTTTCTATTTGAATTGCAACAAGCACCTATACTTAAATTTGTAAAAAGGGGGCGGTTTTAGCAATCAGAAAGTGCTATCTGAAGAGGGTAAAAGTATATGTCTGCTTTTGAGTAGAAATTTTTTACGGCTGCCAAGTTACAGTGAAAAACGCAAATAAACTTGATGATTAACAAAGCGAGAAATATGATTTTGAACATTCCATTATTTGAGAGCTGCTGCATCATCTTCCAAGCACTATAGGTTAGTCCTATTCACTAGCTTTCACCGTTGTATGAAATGCTTTGGCGTAAAATATTGTACTGTGCTGAAAGTAGCAAACAGTTCCATTGGCAAGCAAACTGTAAATAGTTTTAAATGTCGTTGACAGCTTTAAAGCTGCCTCTAAATTGAAATTGGAAGTTTGCAAAATAGGGATGCAAATTGCTTTTGAATTTGGTCATTTCAGCATTATCATGTTTTCTCTGTTTTATTTCAAGTGTTACCAGTGTTTTCTTTATTCTTTGTTCGAAAAGGAATGCGGAAATGAGCATACATGTGATGGCGGTACCAGGAAACTTTGCGGCGACTTTCTATGCCAGTCCGCCTATTTCAACAGACGATTCGAGTGTTAGTGGCGATGCTTTTGTTTATTCGCAGTTTAAAGATTAACAGTATTGGTGACTTACAACATTGTAGTTTTGTTTAAATGCAGCAAAGTACTCCATCGACTCCATCACGGAAAGAACTCTCGGAAATTTTTGATTCCATGTAAATTGAATTGGATAATTATAATGCTTTATAATAATTAATTCACAAATGCAAGGATTAAATTCTGTAAAAAGCTTATCTTCGTTCATCCGCAAAATATGCTGTGGTATAATGTGCTGGCAATTAATGTAGAGCAGTTCTAGGACGATTTCCACCTTTTTGTCATTTTTCTGGTAAAAGGATATTCAATAGTCTATGCATATTGGTATTGTGTAAGAAAAAATATAAAAGAGCGCGAGGTAAAAACTCCTCAGACGTGTATACAATGTAGTTTCAAACTCTTCATTTCACTGTGAGTTTTTTGAAAATCAACACGTAAAAATATTTCGGGTCAATGGTTGTATTATGTGAAATGCCATAATATAAAAAGTATTAATTATATACGGGTTTTAAATATACTAATTCAGACATTTTAAAAATTTTCATTTAGTTTTGTCGTTTTCACATCATACGGACAAAATTAATACCAAAATAAGATTCTTAATTCTGCACTTAAATCTTCCAAGTCATATTCTTAGCGTGAATATAATTTAGATTTACAATAACAGTGAATAAACAATACCACTTTCTAAATGAGAGAAACGCCTTTCTCATTACATGTTATAAGCTGCGCTAAAATTATATTGCATTAAAGAACTACGCTGTTTCATCACATTTGATGAAAATTTACTTCTTATCCATGTCAAGCAATAATCTCTATTCGACCTTTTTTTCATTTTTCGAACACAAGATTTTGAGAACAGGATATCTTCGTAAATTTTTTAGAAACAATTTAATCGTGAGCGATCATTGAAAGAATTCCCTTCCTAGCGTGAAAATTAAATGTGCATGCTGTGACACGAGTGTACATGCAAATGTTAATTTAAAAAATCCGTGAGCTGTCAAAAGTCATGCCCAAATTTGATGAATTTTTATGTTTATTTGAAACGATCAATTAGAGTAGGCATTTTTAAAAATGCATCTTCCCTACAAATCTTTGTTTTCTAAAGTGTTCTTAGCAGATTCTTTGTTTCTATAATATCCGAAGTCGCTACGTTTTTGTTCTCAAAGGAACAAAACAGCATTTAAGCGATGGTCTGATCTGTTTCTTTGCATTAGAGTTTTAGTAATCAAACAAAAATATGTCATTGGCAAGCTGTGCTACTATAATAGAGAAGACGTTTCTAAACTATTGCTATTTACATACAAAATTATTTCAGAGTCTTTTGTTTTCTTGTAATAAGTTTCCATTCCAACTTTCGTCAAAGTTCAAAATTTACCTTGTTTTTTTTTGGTTTTTTTTGGAAGCAAAGTTGGATTATAACTCATTTCAGAAAACTGACTCATATACAACTTCAAACATGATGGGTGCGCTGTGATCCACAAAATTTGGAAGATTTTGAGGGAAGCACCCATACTATCGTTTTTTATATGTTATATATACATATATAATAGCCACGTATGTCTGAACAAGCACAAAGCCAAGGTTTGGATCAAACCTTCTCTGTGTATTTTAGCGTATTCTTTATAGATTGTGCTGACTTGAATCTTAAGTCATTTTCTTTAAGCGTGATGGTTTAATATGACGTAGAAAATAATAGTTATCTTCAAATTTTAGCACTGTGTTAGGCACGTGCGATCCATGCAATTTACATTTTATAAATGGAAACACGAATCCAATATAAAATCATTGCCCAGCTTCGTAACAAATCCGTAATCTATTGCTCTAGTGTAAACAAAACAACGTCAGAATTAAAAACTAAATAATTGTTGTGTTCACTGATTATATCTAAAAGGCTAGAAACTAATAAAGGTACGTGAAAAAATTTTAAGGTTGCCAACGCACGCGAAAAAGTTTGAAACACGCTAATACGTACATAATCGTTAGATACATACAAGTAGTCACGTAAAATTTATCTTAAATCTTATCAGGAATTTTAACAATGTTATTTTATGTATAGTTGCTTTATGTGGTAACAAAACATACGCTATAACGCCAGAGATGTTTTGACAGCTCGATCGCTAAGATCTTATGGGTAAGACGATAAGACATAACATTATGATGGTCAAGTTATTTCTTTGGATCTTTTCTTACATTACTCATTACATTTTTTGCTAGCAATTAATTCCACCGGCAAGTCTTCGTTTGGTCAAGTTAGCCAGAACGTGGCAGTAATGAACGTCACAGTAAACAAAACAAATGTAAGTTTTTGTCATTCGTCTTAAATTTCAACGACTGTTTCAGTTTTAGATATATATGATTTTTAATGCTGATACCGCGAAACTCGTCAATTTTATGGGCAGTCTGCAGTCAAATTCCTTAAACAATTTCTCTCGATTTTGTTCTCCTAAGCGTAAGTTAAAGTTGGACTATGGTTATTTGAGCCATTAGTGTAAATGATGTAGTCAATCTATTTGGCAAGCGCTGCATAATCATTCCTTTAAAATGCATTTAGTCATATGGTCATATGGTCATGAGGAAACAATCGCATCAATGGCAATGTCAATGATGGGTGTGGTAAGCAACAGTCTTCTTATCATTGTTATTCTGGTGGATCCTCTTCATATTATAAGACGAGGACCATGGATAACTATTCTTAGCTTAGCCTCAGCCGATTTTATTGCTTCTCTTTCAAAGTTCTTGACACTTGGATTAGCAGTGGAGTTTGGTATGGAAGTGTCAAGTGAAATCAAGTTTGCTTGTTCATACATGTGGATGCTTGGAGCGGCAGGCTCATTTTTTCACTTGACATCACTTACATGGCAAACCCTTGCCACTGGTAAATATTCTATACGTAGTCGACAGATGTTATCTACGAAGAAAGTTATCATCCTATGCATAACAATGTGGTTTGTGGCCAGTTGCATTGCTTTAGGAGAAATTTCACATGAAATTTTCGATATTTCGTTCGAGCGGGCGATGCATATCTATATAAAGGAATATGCCGTTTTAGAATTTGCTGTTTTCCTCCAAATTATCATGAAGTGTTTTATCATCAAGGAAGTAATGCTAAGTCGACGAAATGCAAATATTAATGGGAAACAACAGAACAGTAAACACCTCGAAATTGCAAAGACAATCGTCATTCTGAATATAGTTTTATTTGTAACTGCCTTTCCATATTTTGTCGCCAAACAAGTGGAATTCATCGAGAGATTAGGGAAAATACAGAGCAGCTATGCTCGACATTTTGCAGAGCACTATGAACCAGTTGCTTTGTTGAATTTTGCTCTCAATCCAATCTTATACGCACTTAGGCTTGAGCATTATCACGATAGTCTTAAATCCTTTTTTAGATGTTTTCGAAATTCGAAATCTAATCTCAATTCTCGGAACTATACATCTGTTTCTAGAAAAAACGCAGCAGATGTGTAAATACAATGCAAGATGGCCCATGGTAGCGACTTTTTTGGTAAACTGCAATAATTGGCCATTGATTCTTCATTCAACATTTATAAACTAGTGTGACAAAGCTGCACGATATCTACTTGTTAAGTATTTAACAGTAGAGAATACATGTAGATAAAAAGAAATTCCTCAAAGATGCTTCCACAAAGATATAAATTGTTGTGGCACGTAACTGGACTCAATTTATTCAACTAAATCAACAACACAATCAACTAAAAACATTACACTTTACACTAATTTACAATGACAATACACAATAGACACCCAATCATTACAGCTAAAAACATCACGAACCTGGACGATCTACAATTACAAACATGTAACTCAACTTATTCCTCGCATAAAATCTAGAAATAAAAGCTTCCACGCAATATTTTATTGCTAAAGTGATAAGAAAAAATGACGTTTCGTTTGACAGAACTATAGGGTAGTTCTGTCAAAATGAAACGTCAATTACCACATTGGAGCTCTTTGTCCTCTTATGTCATCTTTTGTCATCTTTGTCATCTTATGTAGATAAAAAAATTGACTTTTCACTTTGTCGTAACAACAACGATTAATTGATGCATGGCGAACTGTGTTTGTCACTCTGCATAAGTATATTAGTTAATCAACTAATGAAAGATGTGAAAAATATAGTAGTTCTAGAAATGCTATGATGTCCATTCACAGAACGATCATTTAATTCGATTGATTGTTCCACAATGAGGGGCCTTGTGAATGCTGAAAATTCCAAATTACGTCTGCTGCTGCTGTTCCTTGGGAAAAATTTAACGCTTTGGCAGACAGCAAACATCCATTAAAGAACTAGGAACGGTTACACGTAGCGTGGTTATCGATTGAATAGTAAATTTTTCAAACTTGTCAAAAAGGTAGTTATATATTCTTTACGATGATAAATTTTTTTAATCTATAGAATCAATTTTATATTTCATTGATCGCCCGGTTCAAGTCGCAGAATCTTCCATTTTGAGAGACGTTTGAAGTGTTCAGCATTATTTGGCCTTGCAACATGTCCTGATAATTCAAACTCCGGATTCTGGATAAGTTTAACTGGCTTTATGATATTTCAGGTATTCAAATAGACCGATTATTTATTATTTAATTCCTCATGCAAGTGATGAATCAAACAAAGGTAAGTTTACAAACAAATCTAATATTTTTTATATTTCAAAACACCTTTTGTTTCCGCACTTTCTATGCATGATAATCTGTTGTGACGACAATGCATCAACATACGTATTTGACAATGTAAGACTTTAAAATTGAATATTTAGCATGTTAGAGCTGCTGAAAAATCTTTTGTTTGAATTTATTTGCTGTCTATAGCCAATTTATATGTACATACTCTTTCAAATTTGACATTCCTCACAGAATAAAAATTATACAGAAGGGCCACTTAAGCGTGCACCGCGTCCTCACGTTCGGGTTGGTATAAAACGCGGATACGGATACGGAGGAGGGGATAAAACATGGATGACGGGATAAAACACGGATCTTCTTAAAATTTTATTTCTTTTCAAGTGGCGGCTTTACCAAAATTAACACGAAAACATTTTGCATCAACATTGTGTGCTTTTGTTTAAATTGTTCCATGTGCCAAATTATAAGAAAGTAAAACCTAAATATTTTTAAAACATCACCCAGAAACGTGTCTATATAATGTCTTAAGTTGCAAGTTAAATGTGCAGGGTAAAGTGAAGTAGATTCGACCTTTTAAAAGTAGATGTTCGTAGAAAAAAATGTTTACTTACGCTGAATTCTCGGGGATTCATTTATTTCTAATAGTGCAATAATAGCTTCACTTTAATAGTGAATTGAAAAGAATTTACTATTTTTGCAACACGTTGTATTAAAAGTGGACAGTCAGGATAGGATAAAGTAGATAATTAGTGGGGGTGAATCAGTTAGGAAAGTAAAGGGTTAGGAATTACTGGAAGGGTGTGAAAACTTCGACAACTTCACATCCACGAAATATTCCATATAGTTCACCCGTCGTCCAACCAAACTCCTGTTGCTCGTGCAAAAGGTGTGAAGGTTATTTTCTGGCGCCATAACCAGATTGCTGACTTTTGCTCCTTTAAGGGCTGTCCATGTCGGATGATGTTTTAAAATTTGGGACATTATCCTAGGCATACTGATGAGCCCTGAGACTGGGCGAAACAGTCTGTCATCATCTTTTGAAAGGGAATTCATCTTAGCTATTGCCATTTTTTAATTACAAAAAGTTTATAATTCGCTTCATATAATAAAAAGGTAGGATGTCATCGATGACGTCATATTTTACGCCTTATATGATGTAATAAATTTTTGAAAAACCCTTGATCCGCCCCTGATTTTCCTCACCTTGACATGGTTGTTAGACATCTAGAGGATTGGGTTCTAAATCATTGGTGGCGGATTAATAATTACAGGGCCTGTCTATTCCTCTCATTAAATTCAGTTTTTCTTTGCTTTTGCATTTGCTCTGCTTGTAACCCCATAGGATAAGAAATGAAAAATAGTTCATCTTAAAGTTAAAACAAATTTCGAAAATTACTGACATGATCAGGGAAATAGGAAAAGCCAATACTTCATGAGTTCTGAGTATTTTGTATTTGATCAGTAGATAGTACGAAAGCCATTTTTCCTCTGCATTCAATTGCATGTAAGGTTTTCAAAAGCTTGAATAATCTTAGTCAAGCACATTTAGCTGGCACGGCTGGAATATCAAAAACGTTCAAATCCTAATTATGTCCAGATACAATGGACCTCTCAAAAGCCTGGGCCTGTATTCTTAAGTCTACTCAGTCTACTGGTTAATCCACCTCTGGTTTCAAATTAAGTTACACAGTAACTTTAGTTTATATCAAAGAGGTAGTGCGCAAGCATCGTTTTACACTTATATCGCATTCTAGTTATACACACTGGCAGTCATTATTGACAATATACATTCGAGAAAAGATCACAATCCGTTTACCAATCAGGAAACGATGTAGTCACCGCAGTAGGTTATAGCAAGATTTTATGGCCCTGAATTATAGGGGTGTGGCTCCCCGCATCTAGTTTCTATTTGAATTGCAACAAGCACCTATACTTAAATTAGTGAAAGGGGGGCGTTTTTTTTTACAACCAGCAAGTGACTATCTGAAGAGGAGGTTGGAGGTTGAAAGTACATGTCTGCTTTTGAATAGAAGTGTTTTAGTTACAGTGCTGCCAAGTTACAGTGAAAATCCCAAATAAACTTCATGATTAACAAAACGAGAAATATGATTCTGAACATTCCATTATTTGAGAGCTGCTGCATCATCTTCCAAGCACTATAGGTTAGTCCTATTTCCTAGCTTTCGCCGTTGTATGAAATAGTTTGGCGTAAAATATTGTACTGTGCTGAAAGTAGCAAACACTACCATTGGCAAGCAAAATGTAAATAACTTTAAATGTCGTTGACAGTTTAAAGCTGCCTCTATATTGAAATCGGAAGTTTGCAAAATAGGGATGCAAATTGCATTTTGAATTTGGTCATTTCAGCATTATCGTGTTTTCTCTGTTTATTTCGAGTGTTACCAGTGTTTTCTTTATTCTTTGTTCGAAAAGGGCAGAAATGAGCATATAGGTGATGGGGTCACCAGGAAACTTTGCAGCGACTTTATATGCCAGTCCGTCTCTTTCGACAGACGATTCGAGTTTCATGTGTACCTACAAATGTTTATTTAAAAAATCCGTGAGCTGTTGCCAGATGTCTGTAAATTTGATGAATTTTTTATGTTCATTTGAAACGATCAATTAGAGTAAGGATTTTCAAAAATGCATCTTCCCTAAAAATCTTTGTTTTCTAAAGTGTTCTTATCACTATCTTTGTTCTACAATATCCGGACTCACTACGTTTTTGTTCTCATAGGAACAAAATAGCCACTAAGCGATGGTCTGATCTGTCTGTTTGCATTAGAGTTTTAATTATCAAACAAAAATATGTCATTGGCATGCTGTGTTTCTATAATAGAGAAGACGTTTCTAAATTATTGCTATTTACATACAAAATTATTTCAGAGCTTTTTGTTTTCCTGTAATAAGTTTCCATTCCAACTTTCGTCAAACTTCAAGTTTTACATTTTTTTTTGTTTTTTTGGAAACAAAGTTGGATTACAATTCATTTCAGAAAACAGGCTCATATATAACTTCAAACTTGATGGGTGCGTTGTGATCCACAAAATTTGGAATTTATTGAGGGAAGCACCCATACTATCGTTTTTATATGTCATATATACATGTATAATAGATACGTATGTTTGAAGAAGCACAAAGCCAAGGTTTGCGTCAAACCTTCCGTATGTATTTTAACCTATTATTTATAGATTGTGCTGATTGGAATCTTGAGTCATTTCCTTTAGGCGTGACTTTTCAATATTACGTAGGAAATCATTAGTTATTTTCAAATTTTATCATTGTGTAAGGCACGAGCGATCCATGCAAGTTACATATTATAAATGGCAACACGAATCCAATATAAAATCATTGCCCAGTTTCGTAACGAATCCGTAATCTATTGCCCTAGTGTGAACAAAGCAATGTCAGAATTAAAAACTAAATAATTGTTGTGTTCACTGATTATAGCTAAAAGCTAAAAACTAATAAAGGTACATGAAACAATTTTAAGGTTGGCCACGCACGCGAAAAGTTTGAAACACGCTAACACGTACATAATCCTTAGATACATACAAGTTTATTATAATATTTTTTTTTGTTACTAGGTAGTCACTTAAAAATTTATCTTAAATATATTCAGGAATTTTAATAATGTTCTTTATGCATTGTTATGCTGCTTTATGGGGTAATAAAACATACGCTATAAGGCCAGAGATGTTTTGACAACTCGATCGCTAAAATCTTGTGGGTAAGACGATAAGACATAACATTATGATGGTCAAGTTATTTCTTTGGATCTTTTCTTACATTACTCATTACATTATTTGCTAGCAATTAATTTCGTTTGGTCAAGTTAGCCAGAACGTGGCAGAAATGAACGTCACAGTAAACAAAACAGAGGTAAGTTTCTGATATTGGTCTTAAACTTCAAAGACTGCTTTCAGTTTTAGAAATAATATATGATTGTTAATGCTGATACTGCAATACTCGTCAATTTCATGGGCAGTCTGCAGTCAAATTGTTTAAACAATTTCTCTCGATTTTGTTCGCCTAAGCGGATATTAAAGTTAGACAATGGTTGTTTGAACCATTAGTGCAAATGATGTAGTCAATCTATTTGGCAAGCGCTGCATAATCATTCCTTTAAAATGCTTTTAGTCATATGGTCAGGAGGAAACAATCGCATCAATGGCAATGTCAATGATGGGTGTCGTAAACAACAGTCTTCTTATCATTGTTATTCTGGTGGATCCTCTTCATATTATAAGACGAGGACCATGGATAACTGTTCTTAGCTTAGCCTCAGCCGATTTTATTGCTTCTCTTTCAAAGTTCTTGACACTTGGATTTGCAGCGGAGTTTGGTATCGAAGTGTCAAATGAAATCAAGTCTGCTTGTTTATACATGTGGATGCTTGGAGCGGCAGGCTCATTTTTTCACTTGACATCACTTACATGGCAAACCCTTGCCACTGCCAAATATCCTATACGTAGTCGACAGATGTTATCTACGAAGAAAGTTATCATCCTATGCATAACAATGTGGTTTGTGGCCAGTTGCCTTGCTTTAGGAGAAATTTCACATGAAATTTTTGATATTTCATTCGAGCAGGTGATGCATATCTATATAACGGAATATGCCGTTTTAGAATTTGCTGTTTTCCTCCAAATTATCATGAAGTGTTTTATCATAAAGGAAGTAATGCTAAGTCGACGAAATGCAAATATGAATGGGCAACAACAGAACAGTAAACACCTCGAAATTGCAAAGACAATCGTCATTCTGAATATAGTTTTATTTGTAACAGCCTTTCCATATTTTGTCGCCAAACAAGTGGAATTCATCGAGAGATTAGGGAAAATACAGAGCAGCTATGCTCGACATTTTGCAGAGCACTATGAACCAGTTGCTTTGTTGAATTTTGCTCTCAATCCAATCGTATACGCACTTAGGCTTGAGAATTATCGCAATAGTCTTAAATTGTTTTTTAGATGTTTTCGAAATTCGAGATATAATCTCAATAGTCGGAACTATATATCTGTTTCTAGAAAAAACGCAGCAGATGTGTAGATAAAATGCAAGATGTCCAATGGTGACGACTTTTTCGGTAAACTGCAATAATTGCCAATTGATTCTTCATTCAACATTTATAAACTTGTGTGACAAAGCTGCACGATATCTACTTGTTAAGTATTTAAAAGTAGAGAATACATGTAGAAAGAAAGGAACTCCCCTATAAAAATTAGAAGTATATGCTTCCACAAAAATATCAATTGTTGTGGTACGTGACCTGACTCAATTTATTAAACTAAATCACAATGACAATAATTCACACTAATTCACAATGACAATACACAGTTGACACCTACACATTACAGCTAAAAACATCACAGACCTGGACGATGTACATTTAGCAACATATAACTCAATTTATTCCTCGCATAAAAACTAGAAGTATTGCGTAGAAGCTTCAACGCAATATTTTATTGCTAAAATGATAAAAAAATTTGACGTTTCACTTTGTGATAATTGGAGATCTTTGTCCTCTTATGTCATCTTATATCATCTTTGTCATCTTTGTCTTTTTATGTAGATAAAAAATTGACGTTTCACTTTGTCCTAACAACAACGATTAATTAATCCATGGCGAACTGTGTTTGTCATTCTGTAGAAGTATATAAGTTAATCAGCTAGTGAAAGATGTTAAAAATATAATAGTTCTAGCAATACTATGACGTCCATTCACAAAACGATCATTTAATTCGATTGATTGTTCACAATGAGAGGTCTTGTGCTCCTTTGAGTTTTGACAAATAGTGTTTTACATCTGGGATGTTGCAACTATTGTATTCCATGTTAAAAAGTATAGAACTAACTATATTTTGCTACTTCTACACTTTAAAGCACTACAAGTAAATCGCATGCAAACTGTGATGCATGCCATAAAGACATTTATTAAAACCTTTCAAAACTGCGGTTATGGATCGATCGAATGTTAAAAAAGTCGTGTTGCTATAAATCTCTCAAAAGTATTGAAGGTTGTGTGGTTTGCGTGAGAAATCTTATTGGAATAATAAACAATATGTCATTAATGAGATAAATTACTCTTTTTAACAGTTTATTATAAATACAAGAAGATATCCACTGCATGCAAAATGTTTCTTCAAAGTATGTCATGTTCTAAAAAACGCACATGCTTGAATGTAATCTACTTAAAACCTTTATTAATTATTCATAATTGCACTAATTTAAGTTCATGTTTATGCTTGATTTATACTATTTATATAAAATGGAATACCGAAGATTCAAATACGTGCAATTGGAAAAGGTAAGCGATGGCGGGCGTACGAGTTATTTCAAAAGTCTCGGTAGATAAAAATTTTTATTCCAAGAATGATTATTATTTGCAACAGTTTTTCAGTCATATAACTCATTGGATGTCTATTTCCACCTGAAATTTTGCAAGCCTTGGCTGTCTTGCACTTCGATGACTTTAATCACGTTCTCTTACCTGCTCAGTTTATTCTGATCCACCTTGTATAAATATATTCATAAGATGAATTTTTAAGAAGCTACAATTATTGAGCAATGTTTCCACTATAGCTGATATGACTTAGCACGCTTTTGAGACATCGTTGAATGCTGGAACTTCAAAATTACGTCTGCTGCTGCTGTTCCTTGGGAAAAATTTAACGCTTTGGCAGCCAGCAAACATCCATTAAAGAACTAGGAACGGTTACACGTAGCGTGGTTATCGATTGAATAGTAAATTTTTCAAACTTGTCAAAAGGTAGTTATATATTCTTTACGATGATAAATTTTTTTAATCTATAGAATCAATTTTATATTTCATTGATCGCCCGGTTCAAGTCGCAGATTCTTCCATTTTGAGAGACGTTTAAAGTGTTCAGCATTATTTGGCCTTGCAACCTGCCCTGATAATTCAAACTCGGTATTTTTGATAAGTTTAACTGGCTTTATGATATTTCAGGTCTTCAAATTGACCGATTATTTATTATTTAATTCCTCATGCAAGTGATAAATAAAACAAAGGTAAGTTTACAAACTAATCTAATATTTCAAAGCACTCTTTATTTTCGCACTTTCTATGCATGATAATCTGTTGTGACGACAATGTATCAACATACGTATTTAACAATGTAAGACCTAAAAATTGAATATTTAGCATGTTAGAGATGCTGAAAATTTTTTTGTTTGAATTTATTTGCTTTCTATAGCCAATTTATTTGTACATACACTTTCAAATTTGACATTCCTCACAGAATAGAAATTATACACAAAGGCCACTTAAGTGTGCACCGCGTCCTAACGTTTGGGTTGGGATAAAACGCGGATACGGATGGCACAGGTACGGATGAGGGTATAAAACACGGATGAGAGGATAAAACACGGATGTGGGGATAAAACACGGATCTTCTTAAAATTTTATTTCTTTTCAAGTGGCGGTTTTACCAAAATTAACACGAAAACATTTTGCATCAACATTGTGTGCTTTTGTTTAAATTGTTTCAAGTGACAAATTATAAGAAAGTAAAACCTAAATATTTTTGAAATATCACCCAGAAACGTGTCTATATAACGTCGCAAGTTGCAGGTTAAACGTGCAGGGTAAAGTGAAGTAGATTCGCGTTTTTAAAAGTAGAAAAAAAGTTCACTTGTGCTGAATTCTTGAGTATTCATTTATTTCCGTATAGGCACATTTGAATATGCTCTTGGAATCAACTGTTCATACTAAAATATATTTTTATAAGACCTGCATTAAGCGGCACAGTATTAAGCAGGTCATCCTGTGTTAAGCGGTCATATGGCAAATCCCAAAAATTTCATTGTATAAATACTATAAAAGTGATTTTATTAATCGGTCACCTCTTTTAAGCGGACGCTGTCACCTTTTTGAATGTCCCAAACCTAATTTTTCATTGTTTTAAAACTGTAGTAAGCGGTCAGGTAGTATAAATACACCACATAATAAAATATGTACTTAAATATTTATTCTGGAACATGTCAAATATATTTTATACATGTCTTCATATTGTATATATCTTCCGTAATCACTCGAAAGTGTCGACAATATTTTCTCTTTGTGTGAACTTAGAAATTTGAATTTTTCTTACGTTCTTTAAGCCATTGACAAGAAAACGTATCTCCAAGAAAGGATAAACGCACGGAATTTATAAGTTATAACCACCTTCTCAGTTGACACGCTTGCTATTGATTAATTTTCAGCAGTTTGAGCCGTGTTACTATTATGTATGCTATCTTTTATTTTCTAGTTTATGCTAATAAAAAAAATGCTTTAGATAGTGTTGTTTTGGGTTATTTGGTATGTATGTTGAGGAACAATACTGATTGGTTCAACTTTAGTTGTATTAAATAATTACACGTAGTCCGTCCGGTGATTTACCTAAACACACTAAAGACCACTGATCTGATAATAGAGTGGATATAGCTTCCACAGGTAGCAAACATTGAGCTCTATAAAACCTGGAGGGGCAAAGGGGCCTGGACCCCGTGGTCAAAAACATGGCGGTAATGGCGTATTTTGGTGGTCAAAACTTCCACTTTAAAAATTTTTTTCAATATTCACTCCCTCCTGATTTCTAATACTGTTTGTATGAACGAAAACAAGTGAGAAAAAAAAACAATTACGATACCGACAGCATATCATGTGAAAATAATGCTTCAGCATTGCGTGAAAAACACAGTACAGACACACATCAAAATAGAGAAGATCGACGGTAGAGAAACGCATATTTTGGATGTAACATTTAAGTTATTTTATGACATTTTAGACTTTTAAAAGTGAAAATCAAACAGCATTCTTTACTAGACCTGTCAATCTCGTAAAACTTATACATTATTTCATGCTTTTGTGTGTTTGACTGTTTGTAAACAGTTTGGTGCACCTATTTTTCTTGCTTCAAATGGATAAATCTGTGTAAAAATGCTCCTAAGGAAGCGAGAAAATGTTTGCTTCAGTCCTACGACATAAGTCAGCTGAAAGCTTACCATGGATAAGTATCATAAGTGTATTGTCATTGCCTGATAAATCTATTGAAAACTCATAAAGTATGTTGAACTAGAAGAGCTACAAAAAAGAAAAAAATTCAAAACACCATGACACTGTTGCTTGGTAATTTGTATTTTGTAAACAGCTTGGCAGAATCTTGGATCTATTACTAAACAGAACTACATTAATTTTCCATTGAAATTACAAACTTGGAAACTAAAGTGCATTGGTTTCTCTGACAAAAACACTCTGTCTATTGCTGCATTAAGGCAAAATAGTTATTTGACAGTGTAGATGAAGAAATTTATCAAGTTCTATAGATATTATTGTGCATTACTTACAGTTTTTTAGAATTGTGTAATATATGTCATGAACAAGATATAATTTTTCAAAAATGCTAACCCCTTCGAACACCACTACTCTTCTGTTTTGCTTAAACAACTTACAGCTACCAATACTAATTATTTATATGTACAAACTGACATTTGGGAATTAAATGATAAACAACTTGTTAAATCTTTGTATTTTACATCAAGCCTTTGAATTAGTTCCTTTTATCTCTTGGTAAAAAAATATTAATGAAAGACTTACAAATCAAGTTTCTCAAAAATAGTACTTTGTACAAAGAAACTAAATAAGTGGAAAGGTCACATGTTGAAGGCAGACTTTGCTTCTTTGACTAGGTTGCTTGACCATGAGCAAATTTAAATTTGTTTACAATTTGTTTAAAGAATTCTTTTTATTGATTTCTACTAATTCTTCAAAAGACACAAAGAATTTCTTTGCCATCTATTTTTGCTTCTTCTACATTCAACTTCATTGTAACCAATGCATCCGATGTGAATTTGTGGATCACCTGGAATCATAACAAGTATGGATTTAATGAGATTAAAGTAGTAACCTGTTTACTATAACAATAAATACTTCATTTACAGAAACGCTAAGTAGTACTTTAAAACTGTTTGCATAAATACAACTTTCCAATCCATTATAATTGTCTACACTATACAGTCAGTCAAATTGAGCAGGCAAACAGTTTAATAGTTATTTTTATTATACAACATATACCATAGTTCTCATTAATTTTGCATGTCACTGCATTCAATTTCAACACAACTCTGTTGTAAACTTTCCCTTCATCTTTTCAAAAAAAAACATGAACAAATTCTGCCCCATTTTTGGGAGGTAAACTCAATTCAAATCAGGAGAGTTTAGCTTGATGCCTTGATCATGATACAAGATGGATGCAAAACTCGATAAAAATTGACAGCTTCGCCACGTCTGGCGAGCGATTAAGTGAAGAACAAACAAGACTGGACCAAAATAACTTTAAATTAAAACTTAGTAGTAGAAACACTCTTCAAGTATCGTGTTAAAAACAAAATAGTAAAACTAATACTGTGCTACTTACCGGAGTCAAGAAATGTTCCCTTTTCTGTCGCTATTTCAGCATCCGCAAACCACAAAAGTTGGCAGTTTAATAAATAAAGTTTTAAAAAAGTGTTTATGTTAGGAAAATAAATAGTTTTGATATTTTCTAAACTCGCAACCGTGGTGGTCAAATCAGGGTGGGCGACAAAAATTTTATTTCATGAGCCCGCGTCTCTCCGCTGACTTTGACCACCAAAATTCGCCATGTTTTTGACCACGCAGCCGCGCGCTAATAATTTATACTAATTTTGTTCACGTTTCCCCTCCAGTTATTATAGAGCTCAATGGTAGCAAAAGTGAAGCCTAATTATATATGCAAAATTCACTTCCGGTTACCACGGCGAGATACAAATTACTATAGAAATGTATGGCGGATAACGTTTACAAACATGGATTTTCGAATATTTAAGACCTTTCGCGACTCCTTACTAACCTCAAGTATTAGTCATGGATAAAACAGGTTAGGCGAATCGATTTGACATCAAAATGATTCAGATAGCTGTAAAATATCGACGTTAGTGATGATTTAAAAGTTGTACATGCGAGAATGTATTTTGTAGCATCGTTGCCAATGCAAGATAGTTCACTGCTCGCTTTCCAATTTCTGAGGCAGTTATGATCTAGTATACGTTTCAGTTCTTTAGAAATAAGGTGAGTTACTTTTTTTATCATTCTTTCTTTATCGTTAACTGGACGATCTATACCATTTGGGAAAAACAACCACAGAAATGGAAACCAAAGATAAAGTGCGAAAGAAATTAAATAGACTTGTCTTGTTTAAGCATCGGTAGTACTTTGCTCATGAAAAAATGAAGTTACAGCAAAAGTAAAATGTCAACAATCTCTCAACATAAAGAAAGAATGATAAAAAAAGTAACTAACCTCATTTCTAAAGAACTGAAACGTATACTAGATCATAACTGCCTCAGAAATTGGAAAGCGAGCAGTGAACTATCTTGCATTGGCAACGATGGGACAAAATACATTCTCGCATGTACAACTTTTAAATCACCACTAACGTCGATATTTTACAGCTATCGGAATCATTTTGATGTCAAATCGATTTGCCTAACCTGTTTTATCCATGACTAATACTTGAGGTTAGTAAGGAGTCGCGAAAGGTCTTAAATATTCGAAAATCCATGTTTGTAAACGTTATCCGCCATACATTTCTATAGTAATTTGTATCTCGCCGTGTTAAACGGAAGTGAATTTTGCATATATAATTAGACTTCACTTTTGCTACCTGTAGAAGCTATATCCAGTCTATTATCAGATCAGTGCTAAAGACCTGTATTATACGGTTAACCTGTATTAAGCAGAGCCCTCTATAGTATAAGAGTTGGGACAAACGGTCTGGGGCGAGCGCGGAGCCGCCATTTTGGTTCCTACTTGCAAAGTGAAACTATAATAATACTATTGGAAATTGGGTTTATATGCAAAAGAAGAAAGCAATTTAAGCTTATTCCATGGTAGTATCAAATATATTAGGAATAATAGCAAGCTCTTTGCGTTTCTTTAACGATTTGCGGCAGACCTGATTTAATTTCATTGGTTTGAGTTTCGTTTGCGGTTTACTAGTTCGTGCTTCAAATTGATCGTGACCCATTGTAAGAATTATTTTTCGCACGTGAACGTGTTTTCTCGGCTTATGTTCCGACTCTGTAACAAGTTTTCAAGATCTTTAAGCTTGGTGGCAAGCGGCAATTTTATCCTGGCAATCAGTGTTATCAAATACTTGGACAAGACTTTGTTCGAAACTTTGAATCATAGTAATCATGCAGATTTGGTCCGGAGAGATTTGTGTTCAAGATTTGTAACAATTTAATGGTAGTGAGTGATTTATGCCCCCCCAATTTAATCCAAGCATGATATTTTTTATTCTGAAAAATCACAAAATTTTCTTGCTCAGCAGAAAATGACAGACTTTTTTACTTTTTAGTTATTGAAATATGCAATGATTTGACCAAGATGCATTTGACCTTAAACGTTTTATTCCTGTATATGAAGTTATTTCGCCTTTATCACTTTATAAAGTATTAAAGTTTATTTCTAATAAAGTTTGTTAGGGATTCTGCTGAAGATTTTGGTGAAGCATTTCTTTAAAATGAATATATTATTTCAATAATATGAAACATTTCTGTTGTTGAAGAACAGTCTGTTTGCTATAAATGCTACTGTTTGTAGTCTTTTATACAGCATATGAGTCTGATCCAATCTTTAATTTAGCAAAGAGTTAAATTTATTGGTTGAGGAATGACAAAACTTCTATATGTGTTTAATGATCAAACAGGGGTGTGTTGGAGGGAGCTCAGCCCCGTTTGTTCAAATTCTATGCCCTTTATTGCCAGTGAAATATATATATCAAAAAGCTAGCAGCACCATATATATCAGAAAGCCGGCAATATTTTAATATATATGAGAAAGGCAGCAACAGTTGTAATATACATTAAAAAGCCCAAATAGCTGAAATTATGGAGATATGCCTCTGTGATCTTATAAACCAAAACCTACAATTAAAATATCATCAACAAGTCTAGAAGAGAAGTAATGTTCTACTTTGAGCTACAGTAGTAGGGTACATTTGTACAATTCAATACCAAAAATATATTGTACTCAGCTGTTTCATTGAATATCCTAATTATAATTACTTCATTTTTAAATGATGAACTAAAAATACAAAATACAACATGGAAAATCATAAGAGTTTCTGTGATTTGGTGTAGTTGTTTTAGTATGGAAGTGGCTGAGAATTGAGAGGTTTGTAGATTGATCAATTTCAGAACATAATGAGAAATCATCTTCGATTAAAAAACAAGCTTTGGAGTAAGAAAACTATTGAAACTGCATCAGCACGAACTTTTCAATGTTATTTGGCCCAAAAATGTTTCTCTACTTGAGTCAGTTAATTGAACCTTATATCATAAGCAGTTCAGCACAACAATCACCATACGCAATCAAATTTCGTAAGTTCGACGAAAAGGCATTTCTTTAATTTTTTTCGTAATCCTCGATTCTTGCGATATGTAATGACATTTAGTAGTCTTCAACAATCAGTTATTACACACTTATCCATAAAAAAACGCAATATTATCTCAAAATACTGTATTACTAGCAGCAATTGCTATATAAACACTAGCTGAAATTTCAAAACTAGGAACCAAAATGGCGGAAATGGATCAGGTGATCAATATTGCCCAATCAACGTAAGCTAAACGGATAACAATAGAGGTCCCAACTCTTACTAATAGAGGGCTCTGGTATTAAGCGGTCACACGGGAAATCCCCAAAGGTGACCGCTTAACAGGTTTCACGGTATAGTTTTATTCTCATACAACCTAAACCTTTAGTTTTATAGTCATCAACCCTATATTTTTATACTTACCAACCCTTACAGTTATCAAGCAAGCTCAATTAACCATTCAATAAATATTTGGACACAACCAGAGATGTTGTTAATTTGACACTAACAAGATATGATTAGATTGAAGAGCTTTGTCTATTGTAAAAATTACCCAAAGCATTTGAAAATGAAATACTTACATTTCCAATAGTAAGAACATGTAAGTTATACTATATGATGTACATAGTTGGTCAGTTCCTAAAATAATAGGCAGCAACTGCAAGGTTGATTCTTGTTGAATCAGCGCTCACTGTCAAAATTAAGATATTCGATCAAGTTATAGGTATTTTAATATTATATTTGTGGAAATAAAACATATAGTTTAATTCAAATATACATTAGTTGTGTCCAAAGAAATCTTGAATGGTGAATATTTGTTATGTCTGTGAATATATGTACGCACATTGTACGAGACTGTGTATCTATGACACTTAGTTACTGGAGAAAAGCAACTTTACGATCGTTGGAAAGTGTAAGTTACGTATATTATCTTACCATGCATGTCTTGTAATTTATAAACTGGATCTTTACATTTTCTAGGGCTTGAAAATTTTATGCCCTCTAAGCTAATAATAATTCGTTATATTAACATCATATTTCTTTCATTTATGATAACAGTCGAATATTATAATTTCAACGATACTGGCGGATTACTTTACTCAATAAAAATACCCATAACTTGATCTAATATCTTAATTCTGACAGTAAGTGCTAATCCAAACTTGCTGCCTATTATTGTACGATTTGACCAACTGGGTGTATCGAGAGTTACCTTTATGGCAACTCCAGCGCAAGAGTAGATCGTGACTAAAACACCACACGAGTACATACGAGTACATACAAGTACATACGACTGACATACGAGTACATACGACTGACATAGGACTATATAGGGTTAGGGTTAGGGTCAGGGTTAGGGTTAGGGCTAGGGTTATATATATATATATATATATATATATATTTGAAAATTGGTAATCCAGGCATATTATGAATGATAATATTAAGGATTCTCTGGATTTTTTTTTTGAAGTTTTTATTAAGCTTTTAACTCGGTGCTTCGAGCCTTCGTCAGAATGTAAGAATATATTATTTACAAAGATTTTGTAGGCGTTTGGAGCGTCTAATTGGTTGGTTAGTAGTTGAGTTGATATTATTGGATGGTGTAAGATGCATTGTCATGGTTTCGTGTGTATGGATTGCGTTAATGAAATTCGAGTGTTTTAGTTTAGTCGTTGTGTTATTAATTTGTTGTTTTGGTCTTGTCTTTAGTTGTGAATAGATGGTGGGGATGTCAATCTGTCTGTTTGTTGTGTTGTTGTCTTTACTGTACCATGCCTCTTTGAATTCTCGTGCGTGTTTTGTCTGTGTGCGTCCAAGAAGTTGTGTTTTTGTCCAGTCATATGTGTGGTTGGTATCGTAGGTATGTTCTGCTGGTAGTGATTTTGGGTTTCATCGTTTGATGGCATTCTTGTGCTCAGTGACTCTTGTTTCAATTTTCTTGGATGTTTCTGCTATGTACTGTTTGGGGCGATCTTTACATGGTATCATGTAGATCGTGTTGGTTGTGTCAAATGTCGTTGTTCGGTCTTTATGTTTAGTGAAGTATGATTTGAGTTTGTGTGTTGGTTTATGTGCGATGTTCATTTTGAATGGTCGGAGTAGTCTTGATGTCATTTCTGACGTTCCGTTTATATATGGTAATGTCACTATTTTTACTGGTTCGTCTGTATCTTCGTTATGTTTTTCAGTTTGTGGTTTGTTGTGTATTTTGTTTAAAACTTTGTCGATAAAGTTTCGTGGGTAATTGTTGTTTATGAATGTAGAGTATAAGTAGTTGCGTCCATTCTTCTTGGCTTCTTCCGTATTGCAGTGTCTTTTAATCCTGTTAAAGAGAGTTCGTATGCAATCCTACCGAACAGTATCAACTACCTAACAGTATCAACTACCGAACAGTATCAACTATATGAATCCTACCGAACAGTAACAACTACCAACCACCAATAAAAACTATATGAATCCTACCGAACAGTATCAAATACCGAACAGTATCAACTACCAACCACCAATAAAAACGAATTATGCCCAACAAATAGCACAATCAAACGGCCGACGTATGCTGAACATCCTCATATCTGACGCTCACAACCGCTTACGAATCTACATACGAAAACTAAACCAACATCGAGAAACTGTTACGAATCACATTAAACAAACGGATGCCAAATCCATTGACGAAACCATCAAAGAAACAACAAACGCGTATCGAACAAAACGACACAACGAACTCCAACGAAAACTACAAAAATCGAGATCATTAAGGAAATTAACACCAACACATTCATGGGTCAAGAACATATCAAGCAAACCACTCACCGTACAGCAGACTAAAATTTTAAGCAAAGACTTCTTTGATGTTGTAACAAGACGGCGTCTTTGATGCTGTAACAAACTAGACTTCGTTGCCGATCTAGAATCCACACTGAAATTCACCAACTTAAGTGGTGAAACCAAAGAAGACATTCGCCACAAAGTAACGACAAACCTCTGCCTCAAAAGGCCAGTCACACTTAACAAACGAAGAACAAAAAGCTATCAGAAACTTACGAAACGACGTAGACATAGTCATACTACCAGCCGACAAAGGACGCAAACTGTAATTATGGACAAATCCGACTACATCAACAAAGCGAACACCCTCTTACAAGACACCAACACGTATGAACCTCTACAAACTGACCCCAACAAAACCACTACCAACCGCATCAACAAGAAATTAAAACAACTAAAAGACCAAAAGAAACTTAACGAAACCGTCAACAAAAGAATTCGACCCAACGACTCCTCCACCGCCAAATTCTATGGACTACCAAAATTCACAAAGAAAACAACCCGCTACGAACAAATGTATCTCTTCCAAGATCACCTACGTATGACTATCAAATATCTTTCTAATATTCTGCACCCACTAGTCAAATCATCACATCATACTGTCAAAAATGCCACCACTTTCCTCACCAATATTAAAAATGTTAAACTAAAGACAAACGAAATCATGATATCTTATAATGTAGTGTCACTTTTCAAAACCATACTACTAAACATAGCCAAAGAAGTCACAAACGAACTACTTACTAACATCAACTCGTGGAAAATCACAACCGAACTAGACCAAGACGATATCATCGACCTGCTCGAGCTCTGCCTCTCCACTGATATCTCCTTCCAAAATTTATATTACCGACAAATCTCAGGAACACCAATGGGTTCTCCTTTATCCACCTTCCTTGCAGAAGCTGTTATGCAACACCTTGAAAAGCAGTCAGTCACCAACAACACACACATCAGACAATGGAGAAGATTTGTTGACGACATCTTTGCTATCGTCAAAAAAGACAAAACATAACACATTCTGCACACAATAAACAACACCAAACAGAACACAACCTTCACCATGGACAAAGAACATAACAAACAACTTACCTTCCTTGATATTTTACTTACCAAATCACATGACGGCACATTAAACACACAAGTATTCCGCAAAAATACACACACAGACCAAATACTCAACTTTAATAGCAATCACAAAAAAAAACACAAAATTAGTTGCATACGAACTCTCTTTAACAGGATTAAAACACACTGCAATACAGAAGAAGCCAAGAAGAATGAACGCAACTACTTATAGTCTACATTCATAAACAACAATTACCTACGAAACTTTATCAACAAAGTATTAAAGAAAATACACAACAAACCACAAACTGAGAAACCTAACAAAGATACAGACGAACTAGTAAAAATAGTGACATTAACATATATAAACGGAACATCAGAAATGACATCAAGACTACTCCGACCATTCAAAATAAACATCGCACATAAACCAATATACAGACTCAAATCATACTTCACTAAACATAAAGACCGAACAACGACATTTGACACAACAAACGCGATCCTCATGATACCATGTAAAGACTGCCCCAAACAGTACATAGGACAAACATCCAAAAAAATTGAAACAAGACACACACAATTGACTGGACAAAAACACAACTTCTTGGACGCGCACAGACAAAACACGCACGAGAATTCAAAGAGGCATGGTACAGCAAAGACAACAACACAATAAACAGACATATTGACATCCCCACCATCTATTCACAACTAAAGACAAAAGCAAAACAACAAACTTATAACACAACGACTAAAATAAAACACTCGAATTTCATTAACGCAATCCATACACCCGAAACTATGACAACGCATCTTATACCATCCAATAATATCAACTCAAAATCTAACCAACCAATCAGACGCTCCAAACGCCTACAAAATCTTTGCAAATAATATATTCTTACATTCTGTCGAAGGCTCGAAGCACCAAGTTGAAAGCTTAATAAAAATTTCAAAATAAAAATCCAGAGAATCCTTAATATTATCATAATATGCCTGGGTTACCAATTTTCAAATATATATATATATATAACCCTAAACCTAACACTAACCCTAACCCTAACCCTAACCCTAACCCTAACCCTAACCCTGACCCTAACCCTAACCCTGACCCTAACCCTAACCCTATATAGTCGTATGTCACTCGTATGTACTCGTATGTACTTGTATGTACTCCTGTGGTGTTTTAGTCACGATCCACAAGACTATTGTTGTTGATACATTTAAACCGTTTAATACACACAACAGACACCAAATTTAACTGAAACATACAAATGAATGTAGTATGCATATAAAATACCTTTTTAGCATTTAAATTCATCAAATAGTTGCCCCAGAGTCCAGACAAATACAAGCAAATGTGAATGCAAATACAATGTATTATTGAAGAAATTGTGCTATTTCTCATTTGTGACCAGGATATAATCGTATGTCACACTTATGTACTCGTATGTAATCGTATGTCAGTCGTATGTACTCGTATGTCAGTCGTGTGTACTCGTATGTACTCGTATGTCACTCGTATATACTCGTATGTACTCGTGTGGTGTTTTAGTCACGATCATCTTTTCACCGACAACCCTGATATATTTAGAAGTATTAAGAAGAACAAATTGAGAACATTTTCGTCTCACAAAGTGACGATAACAAAACGGCAAGAGCAGACAAAGCATTGTTAAGACAAATAGGAATCTTTTTGCTCGATTTCTGGGTAATTTCGAAATCTTCAGAGATTAATATAAAAGAGTTATTATCTTACAGTCTAAGTGACTATCCATTTTCCATCGCTTTTCTGACAGGGGGACTTGTGAAGACAACGAAAGCCAAAATGTTGCACATGTTAGAGGAAGCAGCCAACATTCCAATTGTAAATTTTGCAAACATTGCTGATAATAATGCACTAATTTTTGATGCAATGGCAGTATTTCAAGGTGCATAACGAAAATAAACTAAACTTTGTCGCTTACTAGACTAAACTTTGTCGCTTACAGATATCCAGCAAAAAGTATTGTGAATTCAGAAATGTTCTAAAAGAACTAGTGGAAGCAAAACTACAGTTGTATAATGTTGTCTGTTTCTACGTATGTGAACATGCCATTGATTTATCGGTTGAGTGAACAAAGTATCATACTCAATAGACAATATGTTGGAGATATGAACATCTTATCAAAAAATTTTTTTAATTTAAAATTTTGATGAATTTACCTTTAAAATTATTTTGAAATATGAAATGAAATAAGATTTAAAGCACGGAAGATATTTTGCTTTCGTGGCTTTGGCCTTGGCTTTCATAACGCGTGCTTTGTTTGCACTTTCTCCATATAAAGTCAGCAGTGCATTGCGTGTGGCACGTTGATTAAGACCCATTCACACGATCCGATTTTGTTGCGTCCTAAAACGGCTTGTGTGAACATATATAAAGTTAGTCTCCGACTGTTGAATCCGTCAATCTAAAAAATCGTATGGAAATAAAACTTGCTCTCTTTCATTCGACATACTCAAAGGAAGTCGACCAGTCAAATTACATAGATCTACATAAGACTTAGAAACAAGAACGAAAATACGAAAAATATGTCAATAAATGTACTGGATGACACAAACGGCTGTTATAAACGACTATAAGTATCTAAATGAATATAAAAATCATCAAAATTTTTGGACTGTCTGACCAAGCAATCGAAGACGGAACCAAAACAATCGGATCCGACAAATCGGAACGTGTGAGCTGGCCTTAAAATAGAAAGAAAGCTCTAAACATGGCGAAATATATCTAGCAAACTCAATGTAAAAAGTTAAAATTATTTTTCTATCATTAAAATCACCTAATCATAACGTACGTATGAAAGCACCTTGATTGCTGTATACGAAGAGGTGTTCTAAGGGGTGCGAATGTACCGTGCAATATTTTGCCGACAAGGGGGACTGGGCAGAAATTCCCCTTGTGATAGTAACTTCTAGTTCATAAATCTATATTCAAAGACGAGCATTTTCCTTTAAAATGTTGTTATTAATATATAAGTTTTGCTTAGATAATTGAACATTTTATCATAGGGGATGTTATGTGATAAAGGATGTCAGGCGGCAACATACACATCAATGGCAGTGTCCGTGATTGGCGTTCTTAGCAACAGTCTTCTTATCGTTGTTATTGTTTTGGATCCTCTGCTTATTATAAGACGTGGACCATGGATAACCATTTTTAATTTAGCCATAGCCGATTTTATTGCTTCTCTTTCAAAGTTCTTAATTCTTGGTTTGGGATTTGCCTTTAAAATCACAGTGCCAAATGAAATAATGTTTTCCTGTTTTTACTTGTGGATGCTTGGAGCGGCAGGATCATTTTTTCTTTTGACATCACTTACATGGCAGACATACACCACTGCCAAACATCCTATGCACAGTCGACAGATATTATCTACTAAGAAAATTACCATATTGTGCGTTACAATATGGTTTGTGGCTGGTTGCCTTGCTTTAGGAGAAATTTCACATGAAATTTTCGATATTTCGTTCGATCAGGTGATGCATATCTATATAACCGAATATGCCGTCTTAGAATTTGCTGTTTTCCTCCAAATTATCATGAAGTGTTTTATCATAAAGGAAGTAATGCTAAGTCGACGAAATGCAAATATGAATGGACAACAACAGAACAGTAAACACATTGAAATTGCAAAGACAATCGTCATTCTGAATATAGTTTTATTTGTAACTGCCTTTCCATATTTTGTCGCCAAACAAGTGGAATTCATCGAGAGATTAGGGAAAATACAGAGCAGCTATGCTAGACACTTTGCAGAGCATTATGAACCAGTTGCCTTGTTGAATTTTGCTCTCAATCCAATCTTATACGCACTTAGGCTTACGAATTATCGTAACTCTCTTAAATCATTGTTTAAATGCGTTCCAATTTCTAAAGGTAATATGCACACAGGTAATTCTTGTAAGACGACAATGTTGTAAATAAAATGAATAATTCAATTTGATTTGTTGAGAATTGAATAACAAAACTTCGATCATAATATACGGATTAAAATGAGGAATTTAATCGTAACTAGTAGAAATATGAGTGAAAGTTATCTTAAAATCTGTTCTGATAATATGTACAAGAGTATCTTAAATACGTAATTTTGACTTTTTGATAAATGTATTATAAGCTCTTAATAACCGAGCGTGAGGTCTTTACGAGAACGTTCTCGATCTGTGAAAATAACAGAGGCCCGAGATTTTTCATTAAAGACTCGGAAAAAGAGACGCGAATAAATTTAATTTTATTATGCGGCATAACTTAATTTGAAACAAGATTTCCTTTCCTTTTCATCCTTGCTTTTTTGTATAGGGGATGGCTTTCGCTTCTTTAGTTTTCGTCAATAAAAAATACATCGTCATAAATTGTGTTGTCTGAATAATTTAAAACACTTTCCTAGTGTTTTCCTTCGTCTCACATTCGTATTCTTGACTTGCAACCATTCTCTTGCGATTTATCAAAAAGTTTTGATCGCACACGCCGGCTGGTGCCGACAATAGCGCTGATAAAATATTCTTTTGTATCATACCACAAACATGGCTGAATGTCAAGTCAAGAACATGGTTCTTTGTTTTTTTTCATTTTTCTTCACGAGTTTGCTTACACTGTTACTGCAAATGTTTGGAACGCCTATCAATTAGCTACGGGGAAATGTTTGTCGCCAAAAACGTTTATGAGTTAATCAAAGCGCATCATTTTGCTGAAAGTGACGCTTGGCACTTGCTATATTTAATCCAGTTTAAAGAATCCACAAGAATACTATGAGCTCAAAGTTTTGCTGAATTTTTCTTGCCATTCAATTGTAAAGCGCTCTGGTTTACCAATTATTGTTGTTTGAGACAACATGTTTTAGTCGAACTGATAACTTCAAAAATTGGCTTTTCTTTTCAAACATTCCCTTAATTTTTTGAAAACTCTACTCAATAGTGTATGAATGGCGGGTTTGGTAGTTCATAAAATGAGAAAAAAGATGCTAGAACGTTAATTTGGGATGTTTATCTTCACTTTCATATGAAATCAGTCGAGCACAATTAAATAACCACCCTATCCTCAATTTCCGTTATAGTACGGATCTTACAACGAGATGCCTTTGTTCTTCGTACTTTGTTGTTGTTCAGAAGTATATAGATCAGGGCTCGTGAACAATCGTGTGACCCACGCAGGAAACACATGTATGTCTTGTTAGCAAACATTTATTGTGTTTATTGTCGTAAATGAACTTTTTTAGCCGCGCGTGGAAAGACTTGGACTAGTTTGATTGCTGGCAGCAAATTTTGGCAGAGAGTAGCCTTCAAGTTAAATAAAATGACACATATGTATACAAGTTATATTTGTCATATAGTTGTAGTAAGTTAAAGTTTGTTTACATTCGTTATTGCGTCGAAAATAGCTTCATGCATAGAGTTTTGCAATTCATACAACTCATATTTTCGAAAAATGCCAACTTACAACCAAAAATAGGGTAAAGTCAGAATAGTCAAAAGTATTATTGAAAATAAACTTCCTACGAAATGAAAAGAATCCACCGACTTTACTTGCTTTTAACTTTTAAAACTTGGCAATCGAATTGCGCTTGTGTGGTTACTTATCCACTTCATAAATACAACCAATCCGCAGTAGCTACTAGTTCTCATTGCTTCTGTTTTCTTCTTCTACAAATTCATCATCAACCCTCGACCAATTTGGTTTTACCCAGCAAGATGAAAACACACAGAAAAGAATTAGAGAATCAGAAGAGAGTCTGGGATGGTTTGAGAAAATATTTTCATGCATTCCATTTCACAGCCCCACCATTTCCACCACAAAACATATAAACAAGTTGTTTATGCTGAACGGCATCAATGTATTGCAAAAGATTATACATGTTCCTATACATTTTTCACATAAGTTTTTATTTTAAAATCACACTTTGTCTGATCTTGTTTATGAGGCTTGTGTTTTTAAAATATGATATTGTGCTTACCAAGAAATGATTTGACAGTTAGTGCAACCAATTATTTTCGGCGAATTTTAGAAACGAGATACTTTATAGCTCAGCGTTTTTCTGCTTTTTCATTAATGTCTTTTAATATATTCTATTTAGGTGGGTGTTATGCAATTTTTGTTTTGTTTGAGTTCAAAGAAATAAGGAATGCTTTGGTAAAAAGACACCATCTTGAAAGACTCTTAATGTTTTCCCTTAAAAAATTATATTTATCTGATTGCAATAAGTATATATGAAGCTTGAAGTGTGTAGTTGATGTATATCTTTATATTTTTGAACTTTAAGAATGAGAAGAAAAATGTGATACATATCTTATGCCTATACGTTTGTTTAAAGCTTTCATTTAAGTTAAAAAAGTCAAACTATAAGCGTGAACAGCCGACACAGCTGGGCTAACTATACAAAGTAATGTAGCCAATGAGCGTGACAGATAGTTTAACAATAATTATAATATGCTATATTAGTGCAGTTCAATGTAAACGCAAGTTGCTTATAAAATGGTTCAGTGACAAAACGTTAAATTTGCATCGGTATGTTCTTCTTCCAGCCTAAGAAGTCGTTTATCGTACATTTTTATTAAAACAAAATTGAAACATGGCTTTCTATTAAATTTGTATCACAAATTTTTACTTTTACTTAACTTTGTTGTTGTTAAAATTTAACTTAATTTCTATCCGTTAGAAAAAAAAACAAAAGTTATAAGAGTCATTACCATATTAAGAAACCTTCATTAATTCGATCTTGTTATTTTATTTTAATGAGTTTTCATACAGAATTTAGATCATTTAAGAATTGTTTTGGTCATAGTTTTACTTGAGTAAGTTTCAGTACATGCATGCACGAGAGTCTGAATAGATACATCCTCTTGCCTGAAGAAGATCTTTAGTGTCTTGCTCTTTCTTTTCCATTTCGGACATGTTTTTTTCTTCCACAAATTCATCATCCATCCACAACCACTTTGGTTTGCCACAGCAAGACGAAAATACAGAAAACAAAAGCAAAAGTGTGACACTTTTTGAAATAACTTTCATATTTTCAACCAAAAGAAGAGAAACGTGTTCTTCGTGTTTCCAGACGCCAATTTATCTACTTATATGACGAGCGTTGACAATTCCGTTTATGGTGCAGCTCGGGTCTATTTATACTATCAACAGTAAGAAATAATCGATACTTTAAAACAAAATGACGTAGGGTGTGCTAAGAACTTAGCGTCACCACTTAGTAAGAGTAGTTTTTCTTTTGAAGGACTTGAGCAAATAGAAGCGCTAATGAACTAAAGACAGCTGAGAAAATATTCGGTGTAGAACAGTTATGTGTTATTCTTACCGAAACGTTTTAAATTATTGTTAAAACTATATATACTTGAATAAATTCATTATGCGTTCTTGTATGATTTGTAAAATTCATATTTATTATTTCACATGAAATTTAAAGGAAATGTGATCTCTATTATGATTGTTAACCTCAAATCCTTTTCAGTTTCGCCATTGCCTTATTAAAATACTGTAGCTCTATTTTTACTATCATCGTTTTGCTCTGTCGACAATAATGCGTAAATTGTAATTGACGATTAAAGAATATTTTAAAAGATTATACATGTTTATATACATTTTTCACATGACTTCTTATTTTAAAATCAACAATTTGTCTGATCTTTTTTATGAGGCTTGTGTTTTTAAAATATGATATTGTGCTTACCAAGAAGCGATTTGACAGTTAGTGCAACCAATTATTTTCGGCAAATTTTAGAAACGAGACACTTTATAGCTCAACGTTTTTCTGCTTTTTAATTAATGTCTTTTAATATATTCTATTTGAATGAGTGTTATGCAATTTTTGTTTTGTTTGAGTTCAAAGAAATAAGGAATGCTTTGGTAAAAAGACACCATTTTGGAAGACTCTTAATGTTTTCCCTTAAAAATATATATTTATCTGCTTCCATTTAAGTATATATGAAATTTGACGTGTGTAGTTGATATATATCTTTATATATTTGAGCTTTAAGAATGAGAAGAAAAATGTGTTATATATCTTATGCCTATACGTTTGTTTGAAGCTTTCATTTAGGTTAAAAAAGTCAAAATATGCGTGAACAGCCGACACAGCTGGGCTAACTATACAAAGTAATGTAGCCAATGAGCGTGACAGATAGTTTAAAAATAATTATAATATGCCATATTAGTGAATTGTAATGTAAGCGCAAATTGCTTATAAACATGATTCACTGATAGAACGTTAAATTTGTATATTTATGTTCTTCTTCCAGCCAAAGAAGTCGTTTATCGTACATTTTTATAAAAACAAAATTGAAACATGGCTTGGATTTCTTTTAAATTTATATCACAAATATTTACTATTACTTAACTTTGTTGTTGTTAAAATTTAACTTAATTTCTATCCGTTAGAGAAAAGACAAACGTTATAAGAGTCATTACCATATTTGGAAGCATAGGCAAACTTTATGACTTTTACGTAATATTTTGTGTTCAACGAAGCATTGTTTAGTAACACTATACTCAGGAAAATGTTTCCAATATGTATGATGCTCTTTTTGAGATTTTTAAAGCATTTTGGGTTGCTAGCAAAATTGAAACCTTTGTTGGCTAAAATATCAGATTTTAATAACACATTCAATATTTTGAAGCATTTGAATGTTGGTGTGACAAAATTTTTACAAATTTTAGACATGGCTCTTTTTTACCGCTGGCCATTTTTTCTTTGTCACTTTGTGTTGTCCTAAGTTTTTCTTTGAGTAAAAGTTATTCAATTGTTTGTTCTGTTCAAGCTGAAGAATTATGCATGCTTGAGTAGAAGGGCACCGCAGTATTTATAAATTTTATATTCTGTTTAATTTCTTTGCTTAGTACACTGAAGTAACGTGATATTTTTTAAACTTGATGGACGAGAAAGAAACATATCCAATTTATGCATATGTTAGGGTAAAACTATCATTTATGTCTATAAAGCAAAGTATCAACAGCTGGCAGACAACAGGCTAATTATATGAAGCATTGTAGCTAAAAAATATATATATATAATATAGGACGGCAATAATAACACTTTACCGTTGTAGTTGTATAGTTTAGTGATACAACTTTGAATTTATATGTAAGTTTTTCCTCCTGACAAAGAAATCATCTTCCGCAAATTTCCTTTAAGACTGAAAATAAAAAATGGCGTGCCTTTGTTTTAAATGTTTATCACAAACATTTACTTTTAATTAACTTTGCCTTTGTTATCACTAAATGTAATTATGTCCGTTTGTAAAATGGCAGACCTTTTAAGCGTTATGCACTAATTAAAAACATACGTTAAGTTAATGACTTTAGGTAATATTTTGTCTTCAACAAAGTATAATTTGGATGCAAATAACTGAAGAAA